ATAACAATATTTAAGAAATAAGTTTGAATGCGTGCTTAATTGACAAACAAACCGAATTGAATCTCAAATACATAATGCTTGTTAAACAAGTTTGTGCTCCAATAACTCTAGCTTATTAGAGCTTAATTAAATTCAACCCAACCAATATTGAGTTTTTGAAGTTCGAAAACTCGAGGGCTCGAATTGGAGATTCACTAGTCTTAAACCAAGAAAAGATAAGGTCAATTATCTAAACGGAATAGAAGAAAGCATTTAAGAAATAGTTTTTTTAAAAAAAAATAAAAACAAATATAATTTTCCTCGATCTCCCTTATGAATGACAATTGACAAATGACAAAAAGAAGAGTGCTAGTATATCTTATAAGAGAGCGAGATACAAACAGAACCGTAGTAGCTAATCAATGTGCTATATGCATATGGTAGGCACTTGGTACTTGCCAATTAAGTAGCCCCCAAAGATCAAACCTCGCTGGCTCATCGCCTGATGACATGATTTGGTACGCCTGCACGTAATAGCTACGTTAATTAATAAAAGGTTTCAATCAAAATATGAATTAACAATTACCAGATAGGTGATTTTTTTTAAAAAAATTTTGTGGAAAGTTTAATTGAGAATAGTTAGAAATTGCAATCATTAATACTTAATTTTTTTTATTTAAAGAAAGCTATTACGTATGCAATTGTTAAAATAATGGGTGGTGTTCTTTGATTTTGTAGAAAGTTTAATTGAGATTGAACCACGTAATAAAAATTGTTAGAAATTGCATTCATTAAAAGTTAAATATTTTTTTCTTTAAAGAAGCTATCATGCATGCAATTGTTAAACTAAATATGCCCGTATTTACCTTCATAAATCTTGTTCGCTCTTATTTATTTATTTATTTAAAAGAGAGCCCTAGTTGTAGATTAAAAATTAACTATTACGGAATCTTAGAAAAGTCATTCCCTGTATATCCTTCCGAAGGATTTTGCCACAATCACCAAGTGTATGAGAGAGATAAGTAATATCGAGAGGCAAGGAAAAGCGAATGATGCCGACTTATCCATCAATTTATTCGCTTCTCTGTAAGCATGAATGAGTTAAACTTGTCAGTCTTTGTCCAACATTATCTTAATCACGATAACAAGAGAACCATAAGTGCCCACTCTCCTTCTACGCGACCGAATTATCCGTATAGCCAACGGTGAATCTATCTCGGCCAACACCGGCGATATCCCAAGTTCTAAGCCATTTTCAAACCAATAAAGATACCCATAACTCAACACAAAGAATAGAACATGTCCCAACATTGTGGGAAAAATCATTTACCCAACAATCATGGATATCCATAAGCGCCCCACTCGATGTAGAGCTTCCTCAAGACATCCGAAATGCCCCATCCATGTTTACTTTAACCCATCCCCCTACTGGAAAGGTCTAGCAAATCAAAATTTCCTATTGCATTTGAAGAGCTCGCCCAAATTATCCATCATTGCTATCCTCAAGACATCCGAGAGCCTTAACCGTATATTAAAAATTAACTATTACGGAATCTTGAAAAAGTTATTCCCCATATATCCTTCTAAAGGATTTTGCCATAGTCACCGAGTGTATGAGATAGATAAGTAATATCGAGAGGTAAGGAAAAAACATATGATGCTAGGCTATCCGTTAATCTATTCGCTTCTCTGTAAGCATGAATAGCTGAACTTGTCAGTCTTTGTCTAACATTGTCTTAATCGCGGTAACAAGAGAACCATAAGTGCCCACCCTCCTCGTACGCTAATGAATTATCTATATAACCAACGAGTGAATGCTGTCTCAACCAACACCCGATGATATCCCAAGTTCTAAGCCATTTGCAAATCAATAAAGATACCCTATAACTCGAGTACAAAGAATAGAGCATGCCTCAACATTCGGGAAAAACCATTTATCCGAGTAATCAATGGCATCCCTAAGCACCCCACCTAATGTAGAGCTTCCTCAAGACATCCGAAACGCCCCATCGGTGTTTACTTTAACCCACCCCCTATTAGAAAGGTCTAGAAAATCAATTTTTCTTGTCGCACTCGAAGAGCTTTGCCTAAATTATCCATCATTGTCATACTACTCATTATAGACGAATCAAACTGGAAAATAGTATCAATAGGGCTACTAGGCATCGCAAACGTATCATCAAACAACTTTTTGTTTCGCCAGGACCATAAAGACCAACAACATGTCCCAAACCAAGTACTCCATGTCACCACCCCCTAGGTAGCTTCCTAGAATAATTAAGGTTGGTCTTATGCCAATCCCTTAAATCCAACTCGAAAGAAAAGTTGAACCCTTTGATATGCTCCAACAATTGTTCACATATGCCAAGCCAATGGACAATCACAAAGAACATGTAAAGTAGCTTCGGGAACAAAAATACATATCGAGCATGAGTCGTCTATGGTCAAATGATGACGTTGTCTTCGAAAAGAAGATAAAAAAGAAACAAAATATTAAAGATATATCTTGTTAACTAAAAAAAAACATTATTCACACACTATGCATTCTCTCTATTTTCGTTATTCATTTATTGTTCATTCTCTTTAAAATTACTATTCATTTACTTGCATAAAACTATTCACTTCGGCTCTTTTATTTTGAAAAAAGTTTTTTCGTTCGTTTTGATCTCTACAACCTAAGAGAGAGAGAGATAATCGACGAGGCCTATTTCGACCACAACAATAGTCCATCTTACTACCATTTTGTTCATATCCAATAGTAGAATTCATTTGTAGTTATGGTAATCCATGAAATGATAGGAGGAGGTAAATCGAAAACTCGAAATATTTTGAGTTTTTTTTTATTTGAATTTTTGTGTGTTTGGTTTGAATTTTTTGTGTGTTTGGTGTGAATTAAAACAAATTTTAAGGTTTTCAATGAGTTTTTTAATGTTATTTCAGTAGTTTAAAGATGTTTTTTAGACAAAATCAAGACTAAATTTGGTTTTTGAATGCTCGAAATAATAAAATTTGATTTTTAGCAATTTTTTAGCAAAATCGATGGCCAAAAAATGCAGAGGTAGCTAGAAATGAAGAGGAAATACCCGGGCTTGTGCGGGCCTTGTAATTCGAGCTCGAGCTTGTTGGCTCGGTCATCCGAGCCCGATTGCGCAACCTCTCTTTCTTTCTTTTTTTTCCCTTTAATTTTTGATTTTTTTCTTCTCCTTATTTTTTTTTAATGAAGATTTTTTAGGCAAAACTTATGAAATATCAAGCGTTATTATTTGTATTTTTCATACGAGCGTGCACAAAGATAAAATATATATAATATCATTTTTATTTTAAAATTAACATATATTTTAGATTATATCACTCTTATTATGTAAAATTTATTATTTGAATTTGACATTATTTTTATGAAACTCCTCATTCAATTAATTTTTTTAATAAAATTCTATTAATTGATAAAAAATAATTTATTTTTTTCTATATTTGAATTTTAGAATAAAATTTTAAAACAAAATTGTTTTCTCTCTTTTTTTTTAAATAAAGCTGATACAATATCTATCATTTATTCTTAAAATTTTTAAATAATAGTTGCTTGTATATAAATATATAATTATTTTAATCTAAAATGTTAAAAATATATTTCGAGATAATATTTCTTAGATAATATTTCTTAGTCTATTAAGTATAATCAAAACGTATAAAAAAAACTATTGAATTATCAGTTTTATTAAAAAATAGTTATACATTTTGACACATAACACCAACTATTTGCTATAAATATATTTTTAAAATATTATAGAATCAATTTATTTAAAATAAAACAATTAAAATATATTTTTTTAAAAAAAAACCACCTATTTATTCAAATACAATTGTTTATGCTAACATCATATATATATATATATATATATATATATATATATATATATATATATACTTTTAAAAAACAATCATCTTACATCAAATAAGAGCGAAAATTTATTTGTGTATTAGTTAATTTTTAAATTAATAAAAATAAGATTATAAAATAATAATAATGTCAAAAAATTATCTTAATTTAAAATTTTAAATTTTAAAGTAAAACTTTATGAATAATTTTTTATCATTCTTTTAAAAAATGGATTGAAGTCGAAAAGATTCATAAGATTTGCTTGAAGGTATATACTTAGAATTTATATAAACTAGTAAATAATTTCTTTCAATGAAGTAGGTTTTAGATTTAAAAACTACGATTTGTTCTTTTATAATATAAAAGTAAGGATTATATCACTTCTGTGTTGTTCAAATTTTTTTGATCATATTGAGAAAAAGAAAAAAAATGGTTTGCTAAGAGCTCGGTTATTGGTTGTGATTTGTGAGGAGAAAACACAAACCAGGTACTATAGCCCCATTTTGGAGGGGAATGAGGTGGGCTTTTGAGCCCAAACGACACCCCTGTCATTTGGTTAGCTTCAGTTTTTTTTTTTTTTTTTTTGGTGGGGTTCATGTAGATCTCATGCAAGAAAAGCTAAAAGCTGAGAAACTCAAGACTTTGAAGCTTTTAGTTGTAGTAATGGCTTTTTATGCTATCTATTTTAGTATAAACATACTTTTAATTGTCTATTTAATCAAAAACATTTCTACTACTACAAATACCATCACAACCACAGTTACAATTCCAGCCACAGCTACATTCTACTCTCAACGCCAGATACATATACATGGTCGGAATACTTCACAAACGACTGAACATGAATTGGTTAGCGTAATGAGTGAATGCTATATAAGCCCACGTTAGGAACCTGGATTGTAAAATGGAAGGCTAAGCCCAAAATATAAGTGACTCCTAGTCCTTCTTTAACGAGATTAATTTGGGCCAATCTTCAGAGAAAACTTAACCCAAGTTTTATTTAGCCCAATCCAATTGGATCAAGCACTACCACCCCTCACGTACATGGCAAAGTTCCGTTTTCCAGGTAAATAATGAATGGCAAATTGGCAAGTATTTCCATGCTATTAGGGTCGTGAGACTGGACGTGGTTTATTGTAATACTCTAGGCAACGCGTGTCCTCTAAAGAATGAGCCAATTTCAATTTCAATTTCGAGGACTGATTTTAAAGAAGAAGTTTGAACTAGAATTTTATATATTAAAATCTCGTAAACTAAATTGTTATTTGGTATCATTTTTATATTTTGTTTTAAAATTTAAAAATGGAAATAAAAGGCCTTTTTAAAAAAAAAAAAAAATCAATTCTCAATTTTATTTTTTTCAAAATCAAAAGTACATTTTAAAAATTTGCGGTTGATTTGCTTCTTTTTTTCTTTCTTTTGTTTTCCCAACAAAAGAATTCAAAACTATTAAGTTTTTAATTTATGTTTTCAAAATTTTAAAATGAAAAACATAATTAAACATCAGATGATATTAAAATACTATTAAGTTATTCTAGATATAACAATAAATTAATTGTTTGAAGGCATGATCATCAATTGACAAATAAACCTTAATGAATCTCAAATACCCAATACTTATTAGAGCTTCATATCATGATTAAAATGTCAATATATATATATATATATATATAACAAATTTTAAGAAATAAAAAAAGAATTTTTTCCTCCATCTCTAATGCGAATGAGAAAGGACAGAAAGAATAAAAAAGAGTACTTTAATAGGTAGTATAGCTTATAAAATCATTAAAAAAATAAAAAAAAGTCTCGAAGGATACATAAATTAACCATATGAATAAACAAAAAAAAAAAAAAAATACTTTTACCATCGGATGAAAATAGCATCAAGCCAAGATACAAATAAAACTGTAGTAGCTAAATTAATGTGCTACATACATATATGTTAGGGCACTTGGCGCTTGCAGCTTAACTAGCTAGACTGCACCGACGGCCTGCAAATTATCAAACTTTGCCGGCTCATCTCTTATATGATTTGGTATGCCGGCACGTAATAGCTAACATTAATTTATCCACGTTTCAATGAATCAAAATACCACCGGTGGTTTTTTCTTTTTAATTTTGTGGGAAGTTCAACAGGATTCGGAATGGACTGTATAATGGAGATATTGAAAATTTTATATGTTAAAATTCAAATATTTTTTAACAATAAAATAAAATATTGAATACACGATAGTTAAACTAAACATATTTTTATCTATATTTACAAAAATTATCGAGTTTTGATTCTATTATAAACATAAGAGAGAATAAAAACAGAAGATAGGAATAAAAAAATTTAAAATACTGGAGGAGTAATTAAAATTTCTTAAAAGAAAAACCCGACTAAAATATTTTTTTATGCAAAAATCGAATGCGCACATATTCTGACCAGGCAAAAAGAGAATATCTTTCATATCCAGAATTGTATAATGGAATTACCATTGTATCTAAATCGAAGTTTAAGACAGTTCATCAAGCAAAGCTAATTAAACACAGACAGAGGGTACTATTTTACTAAAACGAGGCGAATGATGGTAACTTAGATGTCTGAAGAAATGACGCCGAACATTGAATGCTGCTGCTGATTACTAAAAGATATCAAGGATGTCGAGAATGGAGCGGTTGCAGATAGGACACGATCCTCGATTGACCCACATTTCTCTGGAACAAACCCTACAAAAGGTGTGTCCACAGGGAATAAAAGCTGCACCTTTATTTCTCTCCATGCACACGCAGCATACCCAATCAGTCTCTTCTTCCCGTTTCTGTTCCTGGTCTTCGTCCCTCGTACTTTTATCACTGTTATTTTTATTCCTCCAATCAACACCATCCGTTTCTTCAATCAATCTCATCAATGTCTTGACATTTGAAGGACGTAAATTGCGCTCAGCAGCTAATGCCATTGCCAGATTCATCCCAACACCTGGAGCTGCTGCTGCTGCTCGTTGAGCTTGGTTTTGCATAACGGGCTCTTCTTCTACTTCTTGATCATCTTCTTCTTCTTCTATATCAATAAAGGGCATAGCTGGGGTAGTAGAACTCCAGCTTGTGCCCCCACAGCAACCCAGACCCTTGAATGACAGCCGTTGCTTTAGATTCTTCCACCCTGTCATTGTGATCCCATCTAAACTGTTCATTTTTCTTTCCAAGTTCTCTTAGACAATCAATCCACTCCCTGGTTGCATCCGTACCTCGTGTAATTCAATCCCTGCTAAATACTGACATAGTCCTGCAAATGCAAGCTCATTCTGTCACCAAAGAATAATAATTAAAAAAAAGAAAAACCAAAGAAATTAAGAGTGAAGGTTTATAAAACGAACATTGTAATTACATTGGTGTAATACACTGATATTGTTTGACTAAGATTGCATGAGTGATCAAATGTATTATAAATAAATATTCAAAGTAACAGTGCATCATTCATTGCAGTCGTGAAAAAAAAAAAAGGAAGAAAAGAAGAAGAAGAAGAAAAGACGAAGAAAGCAAGCAAAATCACAGAGATTCTAAATGGTTAAGTGCGGCTTCTCTTACTTGGATCGGAAACCACTTATAGATGAGGTCACTTGATTACAATCTTTGAGGTTGTCTAAGCTAGCTCTGTCTTAAACAGACAACTTCCAACCATGAACTAATGGAGTTCTAGCAAACACTAGTAGAACAAGGCAACAGCAGCAATATTATTATCACACAAGTAGTTTAACAGAGATCTTATAATCAGTGGACTAGGATCTGAAAGAAGTGAGCTAGCTAAGCCAGAAATAGACAGATGGATCGATGTTACCAGAGAATAACTGGCCAAACAGTGGCTGAATGTAATCCAATATTAAATGATGCCACTTTTTGTGTTTACAATAAAACGCGTGGGACCTGCATGGCTCATCTTTTTTATAATTTTTTTTTCTTCTTTCAATTATTTCCTTACGGCTATTGGCCATTTTCATGCATGCTTGACATTTCCATGCCATTGAATAATTTAGTTGAATGTAAGGAAACTTAAATGCAATAAATATAAATAGCTGTGATTGTTACTACATTTTAGTCCAATGTTAGGCACAGATCCCCTGATTTTAAGCTAAAAATAATTTATTCTATAAATTTTACCTTCACAGCAAAGCAGATACTGAGAAGTACTTGAACTCTAATCTTTTTCTTTCCTTCGTAATTTACAGAAACTGTTACAACCTAGATGTTTAATTTACCATCAGCACAATGTTAATGATTCAGATGTTAGGTATGCAGATAGTTGTGATTGTTACCAAATTTTATTCCAATGTCTATTTTGATGATCATCAAAACTATAGAATTTGAATAAAACAATAGATTTATTCAAAATCTCTAGTTTTGATGATCATCAAATTATCACAATATTCAAAACATAGACATTTTAAACTTAAGGAATTCATAACCAAAACTCATCACTTTAGGGGCAGTGTTACCAATCGTTGGAGATTAAGCCGCAATGGCCAACTATTCGTTTTGTTTTGTTTTTTGTTTTTTGTTTTTTTCTTTTTTTTTCAATGGGCTATCCAAAATGTAGCCGGGGGCAATGGCAAGTGTCAAAAAAACAATAACCCGCAAGCTCCTATTATTCGATCAAAATCTCTCTCTCTCTCTCTCTTGAGAGGTTTTAATTCAAAATTTCTGAAAAATAAGAAAGAAATACTAACACAAATGGAGTCCATTGGCATCAAAATCTATATACGTTGTTAGCTTTACAGTTATGCGACATCTATAAAAGGAACGAGAGAACCTTTCATATGGTAAAGGGCCAAAAAAAACGAGCAGCAACTCTTCTCTTCATGATAGAAGGCCCACAAGTGATGATGGAATTTTGTCGGGTGGTGAGATTAATTGAGTCAAAAGCCATGACATCCGGCAGTCTCAAGTTAGGTATGCATCTCTTACTTTTATTAAAAGTTCCAAATTTTGAGCTTCCTTCTCTCGATGTCAAATTTGAATTTTTGATACCTCCTTCTTATCCTTCTGATTTTACAGGTTAACAATTGACAAAAGAGAGAACACACACACAGAAAAAGAAAATTACTTCTTATGATTCGGTTCTTTCTTTTTTGTTCTTTTGCTCAAATGTTGAAAACACATACCAAAATCAGAAATATATGCCCAAAAAAGTAGTATAAGAACAACATACCAATAGCTTCGGTCAACTACATGAAATTTAAATCTTGTTCCTAAAGCAGAGGACCATTAATGTTTTCTTTTCTCAATTCAAATCTCATCCTTCCAACAAATGAAATGTTAAAGGTCGATAAAGAAGCTGAGTTGAATGTTGCAGGGCCTAACCCATAAATAAGAAAGCTCAACTATATTGCTATAATAAAGAAGGTTGAATGCAATCATGGTTATTAAAATCCCAATTCAAATCAAAAAATCGTAAGAATTTTACGATCCATACAACCTCAAACCATTCAAATTTCAAATAAATCATTTTAAGTAAATTTGTAGTAAAATCAGAATATAAATCATTAAAATCGAAAGTGGATTTTTTTTCTATGGTATTTAATTTATGAGATTTGAATATAACGAACAATTTTATTGTGGATTTGATATTAATTAACAAAACACCAAATATTGTTAAAGCTCTCTGGAAAAAGGAAAAAAAAAAAGATTGTTGTTAATGCTCTACGCTCTTTTTTTATTGTTCAGAACTGATGGTTCAAACATCTCTAAATGAAGTGCTTGTAATGTTATAAAAAAAATAATAATAAATCAAGCGCTGAAACTATTTTGTCAACTAGTATAGAAAATGACATAATAGCATAATTTGATCCATATGCTCGAATTCTTTAAATTTCAATAACAGGAAGAATAATTTGAGACGAGTTTCTAAAAACTTTTAAATGTCTGTTAATTACCAATTCTTTTCATTTCTAGTTTCTCCTTACAAGATCTGTTACTTCTTAATTCTATTCACATAAGCTTCACGCGCCCAAGTGTGTGTGTGCGTTTCACTTTGGCATGAATTAGATTTTGACCTCAAGAGTTTCTTATAATTATTGTTGGGAACTGGTTTTTAGGTTTTGATATACATATATTGATTTATGGAGGAAGATAACATTGCCACTTTGTAGTAACATAAGTTTGTGTAAGAGTGCCTTGAAGAAAACGAAAGGAGAAAGGCTTTCTTAGTAATATATAATTGAACCCGCAGCATTTACAAAACCAGATTTGCAGATTGGAATGGCTACTGTAAGCAAGAACGTATGTTTTAGCCTAATATTAGTATTTTCAAGTCAAAAGTACAGATAATATCAAAGAAAGTGGAATTTTTCAACACAATCAATAGCTAAAATGATATAAGAACGTGACCATAGAAGCCATCCCCTTTGCAGATATAGAATTTTGCTTTTGGTTAGAAGCAGTCGAGGGTAAACATGATTCGCTACTACATGCAATGATGATCAATAACATGGGTGCGTGGACTTTGGATCTCCTGGAGCCCACGCCAGGTGTATCAACTGAAAAGTCATGATCAAACTAAGTAATTAAGTAATTACCGTAATTCAAGCAAAATACAAGCCATGACAATCTTCAAAAATGCTTATTAAGAGATTATAGAGATGCATGTTACATCCCCACCTAATTCAATAACAAGGATTTTTCACGAAAATTTTGCCATTTTGATGAGATAAAATTCCAAACCAGACTAAAAACTACCCATGCGTGCTACAAAATGGAGCTAGTATTCGTACATGTTTGTGAAAGAGCTACACTAACAGCATTACAACATGTATTTGAAGGACTACTGCATCTTCTATGCGGATTCAAAGAGTTTATTGATAATTAATTATATAATGAGTGAGCACCAAATACAAGTAATTTATATATATACTCCTGTGCTGAGCAATAGATCTATAACAAACATTCCAGGTGATGCCACGCCATGTTGTCTTCGCTATCTAATATGCTTATAAACTCATATGTTGAGAGAAACTGAAGTGCTACATTGTTCATCAACCAAATGACCAGGATACTTTATCAACTCATGAAAGACGAGATGATCACACTCACCTCCTTATATAAAAAAATGACAATTCTCCATTCCTCAAAGCCTAAAGGGTTGTGCCAGAGCAACCTAGTAGTAAGAATTTCACTGATCAAAATGTCATTTTAGGAGGGACATGATGCTCAAAATTAAGCTGTGTTTAAGTAGTGAAGATGTAACACAATTATCATGTTATCCAAGAATCCATCAAATAAACTCTCAAATCAGGGCATTGACAAACAAAGCGGAGCTACTTTTTTGAACTTTTTATTATAAAAGGGATGAAACGAGTATTCATCATAAATACATGACTAGAACCGAGAAATTGTCCAACGAAGGAGTATCTTACAGTTTTAAACTCTTTTTATTTGAATCAGTAGTCAATTGTAACACATCCGTACACTAGAGAAAGGTAAAGAGGCGTTAAAGACAGGCAACCTACCGGACAGTAAAAGAGTTGAAGAAAATCATTTAAGCGCTCGCAAGAAGTGGAGAAATAAGCTGAACATAATGCAATATAACCAACTCTTTTAGAGAAAATCTCATGCACATACTGAATTTGCATTATTGTGTAAAGAATTCCAGAAGATCATACATTTAATAGGGGTTAAACAATCCAGGCTTTTGATCATTGTATGAACATTTGCTATTATAAACCATTGAGTTCAAAAAATAACTTACATCTATATGTGAATATCGAAGCGAAACTCGCCCTCAAAGAATGCCTTCGCAAAAAGAACCCTGCAAGGTCAACCAACAAGATTATCTGTTCATGCAAAGAATTCTGCAATATCAAACACAAACATTATTTGTTTACGCTATGATGCAAATGAGGGTTTTCACAAAACTCTCTCTCAGAGTCCAGAAGGCAGCCATGATTGCAACCAACACCCCATAACTGAGGCAAGAGTGAAGATACAAACAATTAACACAAATGAAGATCATATATTGTTTTACTCACATTTGAACTTGAGACATCTCTGTGGTGCAGTGGATTTCCACCACCTTGGTATTGTAACTAAGGTAACAGCTGCCAGCAAACTCATATTCGCAGAGATTGTTGCAAAAAAGTATTCCTGTGCACCAAAAATTCAAAATCAGTCATTTGGTTCCAGATCCCATACAATATTACAGTATTTAAAACTGTGCCAATCCCCTTGAGCAGTCAGGTTTTTTAATATCTCTTGTTGCACAAAATTTAAACAAACATCAGAGAAATGCTGATTTTAAAGATAATGCATACTCTTGACTTTTTTTGTTATTTGTAGCCCACTTGTAACATCAAATGCCGATAACTACGGCCACGAATAATTCGCTGCCACAGAAACTGGAGCAGGTTCTGTAAACTCATTTTCATGCGTTCCTGGACAAGCCTGTGAGCCACCATCAACGTATGCAGATACACAACATTTTCATGCTCATTTTGGTTAATAAGATACAAAAGGAGAAGATTACTTACCATCTCACAAGACATCTCTGAATACCTCTAGATATGGGGCGAATGAATGATGGATCGCGTTGAGCATAGAGCAATCCAACCTAGAAATAATGTTGAGTGAGCTTATCTAAGAACAACAGTAGTCCAATATGGGTACTAAAAGTGAACTGAAGGCTAGCCAATCCATGTAATTTAGCTGCTATTCACGAACAAAATTAGGAAAAACAGAGCGACCAAAATAGGAAAAACACCAAAATTCTTTTTTTTTTTTCATGCAGTGCTGAATTAAGATTGCAAACTATGATTTTCTGGGCCAATAATCATTCCACAAAAGGTTTAAAAATGTGGTCAGCATTAGCAAATAAAAAAACAAAAGGCACATATAAGTTACTAAAGTTTTTTTTTAAAAAAAAAACTGGGAATGAAGAGCAAAATCATGCATGCATGCATAATAGCAGACATGCAAAAAAGTAAATAATACCTCTAATAATGCAACAGTGCATGGATCATCAAATATCTCAAAGCTACAATCACCTAGGTAATTTACCTGCACCGAGAGAGAACAATTAAAAATTCGATAAAAGAACAACCACCACAGAGAACAATAATAGCTTCTTCAACAGCTTACAAATACAGCCCCATCAACAAATATAAGCTCAGCATTCTTGTTACACTAAACAGTCATTTTAAGTAATTAACCTATTAACTAGATCATCTACATACACAATACAAAGATTATGGATGTCCAGTCCAGCAACATACGTTAAACATATCAATAAAGCTCATATCAGGGAGATTATACTGATATAGTGTTTAAAACATCACAATATGGGGCAAATTTGAGCATCATAAAAACCTTTCATAACTACCAAATCCTATACAAGTAAAAAGGTGTTTTATATCATGTGCGACAGTGAAAACCACAGCACATTATTTAATTACAAAATGAAAAAAAGATGTGTTACCCCAAATTCAGTATTTACTAGAGACTGAACAAAATCCAGCAGTTGAAGCTTTGCCCACTGCTGGCATAGAGTAGGGTCGTCTCTTTTTGGAGGATGCCTCCAAGGAGAGCCAAAGCGTAATCTATCTTTTGGAATTTTTCCACTTCTTGCATCATTGGCAAACTTTTGCAGGAATTCCTGTGCTTTATCCATGGCAGGATTCACCACAGTAACCTAAAATGAAGTAACAAAAGAGATGGCGAGGCAGAGCATGGACAAAATAAAACTAATTGATAATACTTGTGGATAAAAACATGTTGTTGGTTACTCAAATAATGTATTTCATCCCAGAACAAAAAAAAAAAATTACAGTTTAAATGACAATAATTTGGCGGACTAGGATTTAAAGAAAATGCAGTCATCAAGGCAACCTCAGTGCAGACCACATATGATTACACCTCTTTTTGAAGACTAAAAAACGAACTAATGACACAAGAGTGCAAGGCAATACATTAAATATATAGATGTATATATAAACGAAAAGAAAATAAGCAATTAAACATTAATCTTAATATTTAGGTCACATCTATTATCCAAATTAAAACAAGGACCCTTGTTGGCAATTCTCAGTAGCCACAATAGCACCAGTTTTTATGTTTGTTGGTTTTACCATACCACCATAAACTATTGGCCTTTTTCTTTGACATTTAACATTTTAGCAAAATTGAACTCCTGGTAGAAGAAATTGCTTGTCGACCGATGCTAATCCTCCTAGCTGCAGTTGAATAATTCTAGGAAAAAGAAAGATTGAAATTGAAGTCTCAGCAAGCTATATAGAGAGTGCCTTTTATTCTAAACCAGAGTCCTGAGAGTAAGATTCATGTTGCCTCTTTTTTCCGAGCAGCATCCTATACAGTTAGATTTAATTTTATCTCCTTTTGCTTGACTTTTTGATAAACATAAAATAAAAACCACAAAAGGATGCATCTCATAAAATTTTATTCATTGCAAATGGTTACCACGACAAGTGAGGACATATTGAACAAGTCAAAAACCAAGCTAACACAACCTAATTCAGCTATCACTAAACCACTTACATTTATACAATATTGTGCAGTGATCAGATCACCTCAAGAAAGAAAATCAGGTAAAGGTCATGAATTGTAAACAGTGGTTAGAGATTAGCCATGTTAAATAATAACTAGCTCATAGTTCTCCATAGAATTAACCAACGGAAACAAAAAGAGAAAAGCAGAACATAGAGGCACAGGATAAAAACAGTCAAACGCTTAGAAATTTCAATGAAGAAAATCGGGATGATGGCCATGAATAGGCAAGCTAGGCTTATAGATTAGGCGAGTTAACTAATTATTAGCTTTAGCCCTTTACTAACCAAGCTAACAGGATGAGACAAGCACTTGCACAGATGACATTACGAATCGTACCTGCAAATATGATAAATATGCATCTACAATATCCTCAAATGTGCTAGCCTTGTCTTCTAGGATCCTGCAGTTGACAATGCAGAAAGAAAACAACACATGCAACATTATATGTATATAAATATAATTCAGCCTAAGTGCTTAAGTAGGCACTAAGGTTTAGTAATCATAGTGTTCCATCCAATCAACGACACTTCCATTCTCAATGATGTCACAGTTGGCACTGACAAAATCCATGCTTACATTACATCCAGTGAATGTGAGTGGGAGAATCTTGCACAATGTAATTATGTATTTGGGAAAAACATAGTGAAATAACCAAAGACCTAGTAAGTAGATTTGATAACCCAAATACATGTACATGTATTGGTGCATGCATGTGTGCAGACTTGCACTTGTATAAAAGAGAGTAATGAGTGCTTTTTAATCATTAGAGTGCATCATTGGATACAGAACCCAAAAAAATAAAAATAAAAGCACTCCCCATTTATATATGGAAATAATTGATTGATGCTTCAATCACTATGCATAGAGGGAAAAAAAAAAATTAAATGTTCTTACTTCTGGTAATAGCTACTTTGTTTGAGTGCATAAAGCTCAAACAGATGTCGAGGGTTTGGCCCAAGCACCTCAACGATCACCGCCCACTACAATTCAAAAAAGATAATGTTAAATCCCATTAAGATGCATGTAATCCAAGATAAAGCAATTGGGCATGATTCAGCCAATACTATTGGAAAGTAAATTTCGAATATGATGGAACTTAAGACTTTCTTTATGTTTTAAGATAGCTAGGGCAAAGAAGTACTTGCAGTAATATATATATATATATATATATAGTCTTAAAGGGCATTTCATTACTAATTTAGTTTTTAAGATACACTGACAGGGAAATGAAAATAGCAAAATTTCTCACTTCTGACTGACTGAAGTAATCAGTAACCATATGCATTTTAGCTTCTTGTGGAGCCCATCCAAAGTTCTGCAAACAAAGAATATTGGATGAGTGAGATACACTGTAATTATCAATCTGTAGCTGTTATCTACATCCACAAGTACAAATTTCCGACAATGTAAAGATTCCATCAAGTGAAACAGAAACACCTTTTAACATTAGTTCATTGAAGCCACATGATAGAAAAAGAGACCCATCTAGAAGGACCCTAGCAGATCAATAGCATGCTTGTGAGCATCTGTGTGTGTTATTGCAGTACTTAAAGTTATGCGTACATGAGTTCGGTAGCATTAACTACAATAGTCTCAGGCTGCAGACTTGCAATTTGGCTCTCAAACTGAAATTACAAAGCAAAAAACAGTCTGGAAAAGACAGGTCTTAGATGATGAATATCGATTTATCAAAGTCCTCTATCCCAAATGAATGGACCTCTGAGTATTCTCCACTGTTTCAACACAGCAGTAAGAAACAACTATTTCTTGTCAACGAAATCAAAGAATATAACATTGCAAACAAGAAGGTATACCACACCCATGCACATGCAGCAGCACCAGTAATAGTAGCAGTAGAAGTTTAAGTTTGAGTACCTCACGGGAAATGAATATATCTGGAAATCCAAAATCCCAGAAGGCCTGGTATGAGTAGTAGCTGTGACAACAGTGTTTATTAGAATCCAAAAGCAGCAGAGTGGGAAAAATCTTGCAAACAGATGTAACACTAAGTGAAAGGTTAAAAACTTCCAAAAAGAAAAAAAGTAGAAAATAGGTCGCATCATTATGTTGTAAAAGAGTTTTCATCAAATAATTACGAGGCAACGCAATATTCTTATTTCACACGGCTGTTGCAAATCTTCTGTGCCCCCAGCAATTATAAACCATGCCAAAACCTAATCCAACATGTTTACTCTTGTAAAGGAGTTGTTTTTTTCTTCAATGAAGGAAGGAGCTTCATGGAATTACCACATTTAACTTCAATAGAGTGAGTTTATAAATGAATAGGATGCATAACGAACCAAACTATTACCCACAATCTTTCCAGAAGGAAGCATAGGGTGTGGGCTCACACCCCTTGTTTGGTAAGTGTATTTTAAATTGCTTCAAGGTTAAATTCCGAAAAACAATACATTATCAATTAGATTGCATGATTTGACTAGTATGGTGCAAGGAACAAGGAAACAGAAGGGATAGCTGAAGAGAAATGGACTAACCTATCAGATGTCACAAGCATAACAGGCAGACATCTCTCATTTGCACCCAACGCAATAATTCTCCATACCAGACTGTCATGATACATTGGTCCAGACACCATTGAATCATCCACTAAAATTGCATTTTTTAGAACTTCAATATTGTTTATAACCAGCTTCGGCTGCTCAATTCACAAGACAATAAAAGAACTTCATTTGGTTATATCACTACCAAATCGACCAAGCATTTGTTTAACTGAATTTTGCAAATACTATGCAAAGAATTAACAAAATGCAAAAAACAATGCCAATTCTTCTAAATAATGACCTGAAAGTAATCAATCTCAGCAGCTTTTGACAGCAACTCGAGCAACAGACAAGGCCAATCAGTGCACGAATTGGCCAAAGACCTCGAAAACCCACCAGTCCTATTCAAATGAGCAATGGCATTAGCTCTCCACCCTTGCTGCATTTTAATAACCTCCTTAGCCAATCTCAAAGCCACAATCGCCTCTCTAAAGTACGAAGCCTCCTCTATAGACAAGCTCTTCCCTTTCTCTTCCAATCCAAGAATGTTGTCAATCTCTTTGGCATTTGATCGAGCAGATAGCGCGAAAACTGCCCGGTCCCAAAGAACCGAACTTGAAACCTTATCAGAGATAGCATTTTTCGATTTCGAAGCAATATTGGAATTGTTTTGGAATATTATACGACGAAGGCAAGTGTCAAGGCGATGCCATTTGTTGAGAGTAGAGAAGATTTGACTGGAAGTAATAGCACCGAGTTGGATTCCCTTCTGGGTTATCGATTCAAGGCAAGTTTCGAGCTGGGTTTTACAATCAGAGAGAGTTGGTGGATCACAAGTAGACCAAGAAGCCCAAGGGAAGGAGTTGTTGTATCGAGGGTGATGTTCTTTGATTGACTGAGCAAAGTCTACATAGCCGGTTACGTGAGGGCCTTTGTTCCAGTCTTTAAGGAGACCTACAAAAAAGATGAAAAGAAAACGAAAGCAGAAATCAAGTTAGGCTCCCTTGCTTGCTTGCTCTCTCTTTTTTCAAGTTTCTGGAAAGAAATGATGATACGTACGGTCGAGGAAGAGGGTGGTTTTGCCGACGCCACGGGGGCCGTGGAGGATGAGAGGCTGAGGGACTCGATGGTGCTGGGCATGGTTGTTTAAGATTGTTTCTAGCAATGGCCTTGGTATTATCTTCCATGATTTGCTCACCATTTTGTTTCTTCTTTCTTCTTCTTGTTTTCACTGCTGACACCCTGCTACTGCCGGGAGGGTATGAGGACTGAGGAAGACGTGTTCCACTTCCGGTCAGGAGATTTAGGGGTTTAGACGAAGTTTGTTTAGCATAGGTTTTTGGCACGTGCTCTGCACGTGTATAATTCTTTTTAATGAAAAGGCTCTTTCTGCAATTGTATTGTTCAATTATTAAATAATATATATTTTATAATTTCTAATAGATTATTTTGAATTATTTCTAAGTAAATAGTTTTGGTATTTATTAAATTAAAGGGTTTGGTTTTTAAAATATAAATAGTTTTATATAAGGCTTTGTAATTTGTAATTAAATTAGTTTGTTGATTATTAAAATATATAAATAAATTTTGATTGCTTTGAAATAAAAACTATAAACATAAAATAGTCAGTAGTTAGTATATACACATGTGTTGTACATTTATAAAAATATCTTTTGAAAATAATAATTGCTAAAAAAATTGTACTAATTTATTTACCAATATAGTTAAATATATATATGAAAATTCTATGTTTTTCTAGAAAAAATAAAGAAAAAAAACCTATATTGTTTATAATGTTATGTTATATATGAATATGTAAAGTGTATTACGTGAACAACCAATTTACATAGAGTCCTAGCAATTCTTGGTATGATTATATGACATCACGATGAATTTTTTATTTGAAAGAATTAATTTAATTATACGTGATGTGAATAGAACTTATTAATAGCATAGACTTAAATAAAAATTTTAAATCCTTTTTTTATATAAATCAACATAATTAGTAAAAGAAACACTAAAAAATTGTAGATAATTTTCTTCGGAGGAGTAAAAAATAATATAAGAAAGTACAATAATTTTCCAGTAAAATAATAAGAATTCAACTTAATAATTTGCAAACTTTGATGTATTTTTATTATTTATTATTTTAAAATTATTGGTTTTTATGGGTTGTTTAAAAGAATTTTTGGAGTTTTCGTAGTTAAGATAAAGTACTAATAAAACACCATATAAGTTAGGAGTGATAAAAAAAACTTATTTTATGTTATTTGGGGTTTTATATAGTTAATAAATAGAAAAAAGAATAGAAAAAGAGTATTAATTTTTTTTTTGAGGTTTTAATAATTTTTTAAAGAATTTCTAAAATGTTTTTTTATTAATTAGAGGTGATGTGGAATTTATATGTCAATACTAAAGATATACTGCAATGTTAATATTGCATGAAAGGTATAATATTCAATCAAAAGTTTCTAATGATTTCGTGCTTCTTTTTTTAATATATATCATGGATTATGGATTTGGGCCAAAGAGAAGGCTGGCCAACCCCGATGCCTGCATCAATGGATCTGTTTCTTTCTTTCTTTTAGGTGTTGGGAAAGTGTTTTAATTTTTTGAGAGATATTACTTGGTGGTTAAATTTTGTATTAGTGTAAAACTCATGACCTAAATTACTCTTATCCACAAAATCCTATTAAAATGAGTTTATCAATTTTATTTTATTTTTATAATGTATGAAATTTATCTCATGACATTAAACTATTAACTTTTTATATTATCTTATGATATTTATTTCTATTGACCGATGTGGATAATTTAATTTATTATTTGTTTAGAGATCTCTACTATTAATATTTTTTGTAGGTGCATTTGATTTCATTAAAGACTAGAAGAAACATGGCAGTTCATTTCAACTACTTTTAGAACTATTAAAAGAAAAACAAACACAAATATATATATATATATATATATATATATATATATATATATATATATGCTTTTTGGAAATGTTATATTGTCGAGCAAAACAAAGGCAAGCTGATGGTCTAATTGTATTTCTATTCTCTGCAAGGAGAAAAAAGAAAGTTCGAAATATCTTTTACGAGGGCCAAATGCCGAAGATACAAATGCAGTTGGTGAGTTTGAGGGGAAAAAAAAGCAAAAAAGTGCCTTATTTCGATGTTCTCATCCCTATCCCTTTGGTAGCTGTGGACGGAGTATCCATCTGTCTATCCAATCTTCCCTCACATGACCTCTTTTGTGAAAATGCCAAGAATTTGAAAATGAACGTAGACGCGTTTGCATCCCCAACCCATTTCTTCCATTTTATCTTTCTTCAAATTTTGACATTTCAATGTTTGGAGGGGACACTAACCCACCCATAACCATAGACTCTAGATTGGAATCCAAATTAAAGTTGGTAATTTGGCATGGAACATGACCGCCCAGCTGCATTCCCATGTGTATGTGTTAATTCAACTACTCAATGTTTTTCTTCTTTCGAAATCGAGAATTTTAGGAAGAAAAAGCACATTGATGTCAATTGAACTTCTCTCGTATTTTGGAATCAATTATAACATAATATTAGAGCACTCATAAATCCTCTCGATATTATTATGTTTCGGTTTGTTTTGTGGTCTATTTGTCTGGGCTGGGCTCTGCCCATTTTTCATCTAAATGTTATATCGCCGACTCACAATTCGCATAGCAGTTCTGCAGTTGCCACTCATTATGCCTCAATCTTATACAAAATCCGCCTTTCAGTTAGGCAATGCTCCAACTTCGTTAGTCTTCACATTCTTTACAGCCCAAAAAATGATCGAGTCCTTACGAATTTCTTTAATGACTTGACTTCTCTCTCTCTCTCTTTTTTTCTTTTTTGTTGTGTTGTTTGCATAAATTATGGAAGACTTTCTGCCATTTTACACATATACTATTATAGTCAGCAACCTTTTCGATTTTTTCTAATGGCAGGGAGACTATGTTATTCGGCAGAAAAATAAGAAGAAGCAATGCATAACAATTAGCATCACACCCTTGTATTTTTTTTATTGAAAATCAGACTAAAAAGATAATATGATAATTACTAGCAGAAAATGATGACGTGGTGTAAAAGTCATGAAGAGGTGGCCAGAAAGCTGACCAGTCGAGCTTGACTCTAGCCTAGTCTATTCTAAGCTCGATCTCTCCCCAACCCCAACCAAACCAACCCTGTTTGGTTAGTTTCGCTTTCCTGTCAGACCACCACCTCTGTTTCTCCTTTCCTTTCTCCTGAGCAAACCCACTTTCTGGTGTCTTATGCTCTCAACATTTGACGTACACCGGCCCAACCCAATCCCGGACCAAATGCATCCCACAACCACCACCTCCGAACCACCGCAAACACTCCTAGACCTAATAACAGACGTCCTCTCCCTCCTCCTCCTCTCCACCGTGACCGTCCAATCCTTCGTTGGACGGTGGCAAGTCCTTCGCACTAAACTCACCTCTCTCCAGTCCTCTCTTTCCTCTCTCTCCGAGTCCCCTCTCTGGTCCCAAAACCCTCTTCTTCACACACTTCTCCCTTCTCTCCTCTCCACTCTCCAACGCCTCCTTTCCCTCTCTCACCAAAGCTCGTCTACCAGCTCCTTCCCTGGCGGCAAGCTCCTCTTTCAAAGCGACCTTGATATCGCTTCCTCTTCTCTCTCCAATCACATCCACGACCTCGATTTGCTTCTCAGATCTGGAGTGCTTCACCAATCCAATGCTATTGTTCTGTCGCACCCAGGTCCCGCTTCTGATAAAGAGGAATTAGTCTTTTTTATCCACGATCTTTTCACCAGATTACAAGTCGGTGGCGTGGAGTTTAAAAGGAAAGCGTTAGAGTCACTTCTTCAGATTCTAAATGCAGACCAGAAATCAGCTAGTTTAGTTGCTAAGGAAGGAAATGTTGGTTATTTGATCAATTTGCTCGATTTTAACAATCAACCTTTGATTCGAGAACAAGCAGTTTCGGCTGTATCGATACTAGCTTCATCCAACGACGAGTCAAGAAAGATCTTATTTGAAGAGGGAGTATTAGGACAGTTATTGAGGATTCTTGAAACAGGGTCAATGCCTCTAAAAGAAAAGGCTGCCATAGCGATTGAAGCAATCACAGGTGATCCTGATAATGGGTGGGCTATTTCCGCATATGGTGGTGTCTCAGTATTGATTGAAGCGTGCCGATGTGGATCACAAGTGACACAAACACACGCAGTGGGTGCTATTCGAAATGTTGCAGGAGTAGAGGATATCAAGATGGCTTTAGCAGAGGAAGGGGTTGTACCAGTTATAATAAGTTTGCTTGTTTCAGGTACTAGTGCTGCACAAGAAAAGGCAGCTAATTGTATAGCAATACTAGCCTCTTCCGGGGAGTATTTTCGAGATTTGATAATCCAAGAAAAGGGATTGCAGAGCTTGATGTATTTGATTCAGGATTTGTCAAGTTCAGATACAATAATAGAACACGTTTTACATGCAATTAGCTCTCTCTCGGTATCAGATTCTTCAGCTCAGATTCTGTCATCATCAACTGCTTTCATTATCCATCTCGGCGAGTTGATAAAACATGGAAACACAATTTTGCAGCAAATTTCCGCATCTTTACTAGCTAATTTATCAATTAGTGCTGGCAATAAGCGAGCTATCTCCAGCTGCATGTGTTCATTGGTGGAGCTGATGGAGTCGCCTAAGTCAGTGGGTCTGCAAGAGGCGGGAGCGCTTGCGTTGGTGTCATTGTTGACAGTCCGGTGGAATAAGAAAGAATTGGCGAGGGATGAAAAGAGTTTGATGAAACTGGTGCAGATGTTGGATCCTAAATATGAGTTCATTGCCAAGAAGTTTCCGGTAATGGTAGTGGATGCATTGTTGAGTGGACGGAACGGTGGGTGTAGGAAGAGGCTGTTGGCCGCCGGAGCTTGCCAGCATCTGCAGAAATTGGCAGAGATGGAGGTTGCCGGTGCTAAGAAAGCATTGCAGAGACTTTCTGGGAATAGGCTCAAGAGCATGTTCTCTAGGACTTGGAGGGAATAAGCACAAAAGTGACTACCCTCTCCCGCCAAACAAAAGGTACGATATTTTTCTTCTTCTTCTTTTTAACAATATATGTTTTTAGCATAATAAGAATTGAATTTTAATGAGCATTTATGTCTTACCACGTGGCCAACATGGATAAAGACTGTTTTGTTATCTTAGTCTAGATTTTTTAATATAAAATTGGTGGGACCATTGAGTGGTGGGTCTAGAACCTTTGATGCCTGCGAGGTAGTTTCCTCGACGTGTTTCAGGCTCACAATAGTGGAGACCAGACTCCACTAGCCCATTCATTAAATAACGGTAAACGTTGAATGCTAATATCGATGTTTAATTATATGATTAACATAAAATAATAGAAAAATTAAATACAAATAACTTAATTGCATTGGCGCAACCCCCTTAATTAAGAAAAGGAAAACGAAAGCATATAATTAATTAAGCTTTTGCTAACTTATTGATAACTAAACGGCCGCACCCTGTTGCTTCAGCTAACTAATAAGTACTCGCTATCTACAACGACTGTTCTGGAGATCGTGTATTGACTGGAAAGCAAAAATGTGAATGATTATTAGTGGATTGAGATTCTGTCATTTTTCAAAAAATCTCACTAGTAATTTTGAATTTAATAATCTGAATTGGGTGAAAAAGATAAAATAGTAATTAAGCACTTGGGTTGTCTGTATTTTTATCATGTTGGCTGTTTATTATGAATTCCATTATTTAGATTTAATAAGCATAAATGTCTTTAGCATACAATTATATTTTCATTAACTTGTCATAGTAGTGTTGTTATTGTAATTAATGAGGACTCCGTTTGGACTTTGTAATTGTTCAAGGAAAAAAACACCTTTTTGATACATACATATGTATTTTTTTTTCAAAGGAAAGATTTGAACCAGAGATGTTTTGATCGGAGAGAGAACACTGAAGTGAAAATGGAGCTGATCACTTTGGTGGACAAACATTGGACCAACACATACTTGGTAAACTCCCAACTTTTTTTGAATTTATACACAATTTTATCCCCATATATCAACAAAAAAAAAAAAAAAAAATTATATGCGCATTATTTATGCTAATATATTGTAGTATTGTATGACAAAAGCATAGGTGGATGCGGTTTTTAGGGAGCATCCTCGATTGCTTGTCGTTTAATCTTATTAATTGAATTACTCATGTAATCCGTAAGAGATCAGGGTATGATGATTTGCCTCTGTTTTTTCCTCCCCTTTTGTTGACCCTTTTGATTATGTTCTTATAGGAATTGCCAATTTATTGTATCAAGATATTATAAGAGTAGATTTCCTCTTCAATGTGTTTGTAGTCTTTGTTTGGGCGTTTTAGCTCCGTTGTAATTATCAGGAAAAAAAAAAACAATTTGGTTATGTCAATCCTAGGAGAGTCTTGTGTGGTTTTATCTGTAACAGCCATATGTGTGGATTTTGTACAGAAAGCGTCCAATGGATTGTTATGATACATCTATTACCAAAATGTATAGTCACCTCTTTTATTTTGCATGTATTTGGTTTGTGCTTTGAGGTTGATTCGTGGAGGATATATATATACATGTGTGTGTGTGTGTGTGTGTGTGTGTGTGTGTGTGTGTGGTTTGCGCGTTGAGGTTGATTATATATATATATTTGGGGATAAAGGGAGCTAAACAAGCAGTGGGACCCCACAAAAGCTACGCCAGTATAATCTCCCAGCAGCACGTTAGTCGTACCAGGAGGGGGATGGGCAGGAGATGGGAATCCTATCGTGCATGATGATGATGGCAAACGTTAATCCCAGTTGGTATGTTAAAAGTGGTACCATAATAGATTTTGCGCAACTCATGGCATACCCCCAAAAGGTGCTGCAGGTAATTATTTGGTGTTTCTTTTCTTTTTTTCTTTCTTTTTTTTTTTTTTTTGTTCTCTGTTTCAAAGTAGCTAGGTAATGGAAATCAATGGTAATGATGAAACGTTCACCCCTGAGTATGTAGTCTGAGTTGGCATTTTCATCAGATTTGGTGATGGGAATGTGGGTGGGTCCCTGCACTACATATTTGGTTGATGACCTTTTGAACACGTGAAACATAATGATCGATAAGTAAAGCTCAAACCTTTCTCTAATTCAAGTCAGGAATGTGTACTTCACTTATTATTTGTTTAGGTGATTATTACTGAATTTGGGTTGTGATTATGTACTAATTATTGCTATACTTAGGATCCATTAAGTGTAGCTTTCAGTTGTGGCTTTTATAATTGTGAAATAATATTTGATTATATTTACTGTTAAAATATTTATGTCATAACAAATTATAACCAAAACCACCTCATTTTATCGCCTTTTTTTTTTTTTTCTTTTACACAATCTTGAAAGCATTTTTGTAATTTTATCACACTTTTTTGTAATTTTGCGTTGGGTGTTATACGAAAGCTCTGAAAGCCTCAAAAAGAGAGCCAAAACAAACAGGCTCTTACTAACCAATTGATTCAATAAATGGTCTTGAATCTTGATCTTCTTTAAGTGAGCATATGCACTGTCGACTGTCGAGTATTGGGAATCTGGAAATTATGAGTAAAGATGACTTGGGAAGAGGAACCCATTCCTTTAATAAGTTAGAAAGGAGAGGAAGGTTCGGCGCAAATGTAGGCAGCAAGGGGCTTGAAAAAAATGGGTAGAGGCGACTGGCAAAAGCATAAATTGCTGGTCCCGATGGTTGAGAGCCTAACAAGCGACCTAACAGAAGAAAGATACACAGAGAGGAATGATAAAATAATGCACGTTTTAACATGTTTTGCTTCCCTCCCTCTCCCTTCTTGTTCAATGCCTTACCATACAATTTGCTTATTTGCATCAGACACCAGTCAAAGAAGGCATTTCCTGTGAGATCTCTTTAAAGCTACTGTACTATTGCAGTAAACATTCTGAAAAGTTCCACGCCTCTTTCGAATCAGAGCTTTACGACTTTTCTTGTTCATTCATGTCAAAATTTAATGGTTAGGGTGATATTTCTGTTGCAAATTCAAGTGATTTTTCTTGGGGGTTCAGCTCGAAACATTAATGTCTTGTCTCCTGTTGTGAAGTGGAGTTTGCTTTTCTTGTTGTTATCTCACATTTGAATCCAAAAGAAGGTTGTGAAAAAAAAAAAAATTAGTGTTACATAACACCAGTGATGTCAAAAAAAATCATTATAATTTTATAAGGATAGTGTTTTCTTGAAAGAATACAAAAAAATGTATTTTATTTCAATGAATATTATATCATTTAACATTTTTACTTTTTAAATTTACTCCTAAATCTTTTCTATTTTTGAAAATATTGTTTATCACTATAATGTCATCAAGCATTTTCTAAAAGAAATACATTGTTAATGTACTAGATCGACAGGAATGGTATATATTTAAAACCCCAAATGAAAAGAAATTTAGTCCTAATATCGATGTAATATATACAAAAAGGGTATGCAATTATTGAGTATTTAAAATTTATGAATCTAAATATTTTTTAATAATACAATAATTTCAAAAAAGCCTATAAACGCCGTAAGTAGTGTGTCCTAATTAATTAAGAGTTAAATTAAAAAATAAAACAAAAATTAAAAATTAAAATTAATTCTAGAAATATGAAAAATACGGAAAGAAAGAAAACGAAAAAAAATCTAAATTTCTAACTTGGAGCAATTTAAGGTGATTTGACTGATCTGGATCGCAAAAAATACTCAAATATGAATTTTCAAAGTGGATTTTGATCTCGAATGACCTTCAGCGTTCTGCCATGGTGTGAGTTTTGAAATAAACTTTTCAAATTAATAAACAATAGAAGAAGAAACATGCATTTTTATCTGCAAGTGTACGATCATCAAGTTCACAAGGCACAATTGGCGGAAAAAGATGGAAGGCTGCGTGTACTCGACGTAGAAATTTTATATAAATATGTCACCATTAGATTAAATATTTTGATTAGGTCTATATAATTTGGGAAATTAACTTAATATATCTTTATATTTTAAACTTAGTCTAAATCCATTCTTATAAGTCTGACAAAAGTCCAATTTATCTTTATATTTTAGGTTATTTTTCAATTTATTTTTCTGATCGATATTTCTATCAAAATAATAGAAATACTCTCACATTAGAAACTCAAACCTAACCTATTGTCTTATGGTGTCAAACTTTTTTTCTCTCTTCATGTTTAACCTTTTTAAATAAATTGGGTTGGATTGAGTTTCTTATGTGAGGGTATTTACGCTAATTTAGATGAGAATTTAAAAAAAAATAGATTGGAGAATAAAAACGCATTTTGATATAAATTGAAAGCAATTAAACTGGTAAGAATGTATTTGGAAATTGATCAACTAATTCTCCCATCGTTAAAATTAAAAAATAAAAAGGAAAAAAATAAACCATAAGTTTATTTAAAAAAAACATGTTCAAAAAATATATTTAGCACAGGAATAAAAAGATATGCGTGAGGGAGTACGGATTCCGACATTTGACCAGAAGCATATTCCTCGTTCCTGTCCTCATTGTGTATCTGGGAAAAATGCTCCTCATATCCATTTTCATTGGTTTAGGTCCTGTTAGATCTCTATTGGAGTTCAAAATCTTGACCTTTGTAATTGGATAAATTATTAAATATGTCAGGAGTCCTTCTCACAGACACATTATAAAAATAAATAAATAAATCAAATCATAAGTTTAATATCTATTGCATTATTTCAAACACTATTTATTCAGATTTATATTTATTATTTATTCGAATTTAGATGCATTATATAGTCATATTTTTATAATTTTTATTATAAAAATTTTTGTAACATTACTTTTCGATTCTTCTATGTTAAATATTATTTTTTTAATCTGTAAATAATTTTTCTTTGATTGTGGTCTCATTTTTTTGTTTCATTTTAGTTACTTTGGTCTTTATCTTTTTTTATGATTTTTTAATTAAAAATTTTAAAGCAAAAAGATGTTTTTTTAAAAAAACAATTTATAAAGTAAGTTTTTAGAATCTTTTATTTAATTTTGGTTTTAGTTTTTTGTTTCATTTTGATCACTTTTGTCCTTTTTTTTTTGATTTTTTTAATTAAAAATTTTAAGGTAAAAAGATGTTTAGAAAAAAATAATTTACAGAATAAGTTTTTAGCAAAAATATGTATAGAGATAAATAAATAATGTTTTTAATAAAAAAATTATGAAAATATAAAGAATAATTAATCGAATATAAAATTTTGATTAAAAAATGATAAAATTAAATAAATTTTTATTCAGTTTTGATTTAATATATTTTAATAAATATTTAATATAATACGAAATATCAAAATAAAATAATTTTATATATTTTATTTGATTAATGATGTAACGAAAAAAAACTACTGGATGCTGTTACAAAATATACTAATGGCTCTTGTTTTTAATGTTTGAAAAAGTGAAATATGTCAGAATTCTCGATGTAAAAACACATTGTGAGAGGGAGGAGTATAGTTTTTAAGTATACTGACCAATTATTTAGGCTCTAACTGAATGTCATGGAGCCTGGAGGAGGGAGCTTTGCATATATTTGGCGCGGTCTATTTACGACACGTCACATATTATTTATTGTCATGCAGCATGCCATGTGTATGATTTTTTTTATAAAATTTAGTATACCATTTAGCAGGGTGAGTACAATTTTGATTAATAGAAAAATTAAATAAAAACGAACTGAATTATATATTTTGGTTTAATTTTGAAATTAAATTTATAAAACTAAAAACTAAATCGAAATATCAAAATTATTTCGATTTTGTATTTTTTTTAAATTCAATTTTTGATATATCGAAAGTAATAAAAACAAAAGGCTTATGGCCACTACTAAATCTCTTATCCTAAAAATTTCATTTCCTACAACTAGTTTGAGATTTAAATTATGATATTGAAGGAGTAACTATACCTTTTATTAGCCCAACCCATATATTAAAAAATGAAAAGCCTTTAAATATTAGCCTAACACGTATTTAAAATTTATCAATTAAAAAATATTATTTCGATTAAAATTGATTTTTTATGAAACCCGAATCGAAATAATTCAGTTTTGGTTTTGATTTTTCTTAATTCATCTAAAACCGAATCATTTAACCATTTATTCACCTATACTATTTAGAATATAAATCGTGTTTATAAATTAAAATTTGACTACCTTTTATCTAATACTATGACTGAAAATCATCTTTATAAATATGAAATTAAATAAACGTCTATATATCATTTAGCAAGATATCATGTATCTAACCATATAAGGTTTATAAAACCTTATGCATATATTTCTTTCTTTATTATTATTATTTGCTTGTCGCGGTAAATTTAAGGAAGAAAAAGCGTATAGCTCGAAAGGTTTGGCCTTTATTCTAAGCAAAATTTCTTCGTTAACAATGTCTGTTATGATGATTAATTTACATGCTTTGCTACAACTACAAATTACGTTTTTTGGTTCTTTTTCCCTCCCTTTGGGAGAGAAGATCTCAAAGGACAATATAACATTCAATAGACAATATAACATACTTATATTATGTCAATGGTTTCCCCATTTTTTTTCAGAAATGGCTACTAATTAGCTAGCTCAATAATCTGTGAGTATTCTTTATGTTCCGGAGTGCTTGCTCAAGCAGAATCACGTAGAACCGGTGGAACCTCACATGCCCTTTTCAAGAATAGATGGAGGGTACTGGACGCAATTGGAATTGAGAGTTATGTTAGGAGCCAATCTTTTGAAATTCAAGGGCATTGCTTCCTTTTCTGATTCCAAATACATATGCTAACTGACCATAACCATGTGTGTTGTTGTACTGTAAATTGTTAGAGATTGCTCACATTGTTTCATTTTCTACTCTTCCGGAAAATATTATTTGACCATTTAGATTGCCGAATGAAACTTTTTTCTTTTTTCAACAATCATTTTCAAATACAATGGATGAATCGCAAACATAATAATATTATAGTAATATAATTTTTGTTGCTATAAGAATAACAGTTAACCAAGAAATAACATAATGTTTCAGCGTGTCTGGAAACAGAATATGTGCATATATAGTTGATTCTTTATTTTGATATCACATAAAAGTTGGGTTGCACAATTTAAGAGGCTAGAGTTTTAACATCATCAAATGTTTTATTGCGTCATGAAAAATCTTGGATCTAGCAATTCAATTGCATATTTTGGAGTTCAATTGTCACTTCGTTCTTATATATTTCTCCCAATGTTCCTATCTATCCACATGGTGTTTTTAGTATATTTTTGTTACTACCCACCTGCTAAATTCATTTAACTAAGTAATGTTGCCTTTTTTGTCTTTTTTTTCCCCCTATAATTGATGTTAAAATATATTATCCGAATTAACTATTTTTAGAAAAAAATATATATTTAGGCCATAGGATGTAACTATTGCTGCAGAAAAAACACATCAAACTAAGGTTCCGTTTGTTTGACGAAAAACAACTTGCATGAGAAAATCAATTCTGAAAAAGCTATTTTTCAAGAAATTGTTTTTCAAAAAATATTTTCTCGACCTTTGACAATTATATAAAAAAATGCTAAAAAAATTATTTCAGTATTTGTTTGATGCGTAAAACTCGAAATACAAAAGCTGTCTTTTTTTAAATTGAACTAATAATTTAGTCAAAAAATAGTTTTATAAATTATTAGTTATCATTTGTAGATGATTATTCATTTGATTTCAAAAGATTAATGTTGGAATAATTTGTAACTAATTATTGACTACAATCACCAATAAATTTTACAACTAATTGAAATTAATCACAAATTATTAATTTAGTTACAAATAAATAGTGTTAGAAAAATAATGTATTTATTAATGAATTAATTAGTTTCAAAATTTTCACAAATGATTACGAGTCTTGTAATAATTATTTTCAATCGTTTAAGTATAATTTAGGTGGTGTTTGGGATAATGATAAAAAAAAGAGATAAATTATTAAAATATTTATTATAAAAATAATTTTAAGGTGTAAAAATGGTTTTTAAGAATATTTAATGTATTTATAAACCGAAAAATCAAATGTTAGTAGAAATAGAAAAAAATAATTAAATAATTAATAATAGTTGATAAGAAATAATTAAAAATTAATTTGATGTATTTTAAATAAAAAGAAGTTAGAGAAAAAAATATATCGAAAAAGAAGTGATTAACGTGAGAGCGAGACAACTCGTGAGAAAGAGAAAAAAATTTTTCTCTTTTTTAACTCAAAAAATACTTTTTCAAAAATACTTTATTATTTTTCGTTGACTTTTTTCGAAATGCAAAACAAATATTGAAAAAAAAAATAAGTTCTTAAAACTTGTTTTCTCCCGAATAACGAGAGCCCATAGAAAAATGCAAGTGACATAAAGCAACAAAAAATTTGCATTTTCATTTAATTGTTTTTGCTATAATTTATATGAAAGGGATCATTAAAGATAACTATTGATAACTAAAAGGTATCATTAAGAAATAAAAATAAAAATAAAAAACCTTCTTAATAAAATAAATACAATTATCTTGACCGAAAGCAACGCACGAGCGTCCGTAACTATTGATAACTGAAAACAAGAATAATTGTTTTTTAAGAATTCAATTCAAGATAAATTTTCTCTCACTCATTCCTTACAGTTATGGAATCATAAGTATTCCTTCTTTTTTTAAAGAATCAGTTATAACTTTCAATTATCTTTTATGGTTAAAACATTTATATCCGTAATTTAACTTTGATTATTAATTTCAATTTTATAGAAACACGATCATCTCTATCTGATTATTAGGACATGAAAACTTGAAATGCTCTTAAAAAAGTGTGTATATACACTATCGAGGCTTTATATAATTCGAATTTATTTTTATTAAAATCTTAAATTTTTTTTTGTTCAGTTTAAAAATTTTACTCGTAAGTTATTATTATTTTATATTTTAATATGCCACTTAAATCACACACGGTAAACCCTACCTAGTAAAGATTGTCATTATCAAATTATTTTTTTATTGTCAAATTATTCATGTAGCTCCGTTGTTTCATCATTCATGGTTTGTATCCCTATATTACTAGGATAAAAAATTACTTACCTACGATTGCAGCTGTTTTTATGGTCATTCATAACACGCCAACCCACCGGAAACCAAAAAATAAAAACACCAAACCTTTTTTTCCCAATCTCCATTGCGCTTACCGCATTAGAATAAAAATAAGAAAAGAAAAAGCCCTGAAGCGAAGCGAGGGTTAATATCTAATAAAGACCAATTTTCATTTTCAAACAAATATAAATTAATTGCATTCCCAATCCGTGGCGGGGCCATGGATTTAGTACGGGAGGCGGAAATTTTAGTATAAAAAGTTCGTTTGTAAGTCACTTTTACAACTTTTTTATATCATATTTTATTTATAAAAAGTTTCTTTGTAAATCTTTTTTTAACTTTTTTTTCATATTTTATTTATAAATATTACTGTGTCTGGTAAGTGATAATCACACCATATCGTGCAAGTTCCGACCGTGATTTTTTTTCCCTTCCAATTGCATATTTGAAATGACCTTGTTTTTGCATTTCCTATTGTACAGAATTCATAAGCGAAAGCAATCAAAGAAGGAAAGAAGGAAGGGATGAAAATGATTTTTTAATTTCCTATTGAATTCCAGTTTTTAAATTATTTACACCATCATGCTATGATTCCTGAACTATTGTGCATTTGTGCTTGGTTTTTGCCAAACAGAAATCTGATCAAACAACTTTGTAAACTATAAATAATGACATGGTTAAAGTTTACCGCATTCCATGCTTTCGCTTCAAATATCAAGACATATTCTTCGCTATAATCTTGTCCTGCTGCTGCAGCCACAATTGCTGTTGTTGCAACAGACTTTGTTGATCCATGGAAACATTAGATTTATGTCCAGCAGCGATTGTAGGTGCAAACGGATCATCTTCATTGTGTAATCCTGCTTCTGTATCAGGATTCTGCGCGCTAAAGGTTGGGGTAGCCTGAAATGTAGGGGCCGTTGAAAACATATCATTGGCAGGACGTACTGTTTGGGTGTCTATGGGAGCAACAATTTCTGGTATCTCAGTTGTATCTTGTAGAAATGGATTGTATTGGTGATCTGGCAGTGAAACTGGATCGATGATATTGTTGGCAATCGAGGGCTCAAATTCACAAGCTACATGAGCTGAATCTTGATCGAAGAAATTGCTCAAAGCGTTGGACTCAAATCCAATGGTTAAATCTGGTGATGCTTGCATTGACTGGCTTGCACTCTCTGCTAGGAAAATCTCCCAACAATCACTTTGACCAGTGCTTGAGTCCCGAGCCGAGGTTTGTTTTCCTTGTTCTTGTTCTTGCTCTTGCTCTTGTTGTTGGTCTTCTGGTGGCCAGCCATCCAAAGATATAAGATCTAAAACACTATTTGCCCCACTTACTGTTCCTTGGTCAATGGTGGATGAATGAATCGAGTTAGAATCAGCAGTACTAAGGATGTCTTCATTCTGTGATCGGTTCTCAAACTGCCCCAAGTAGGACGTCATAGGTGGGCTTGTTCCCATATCCATTGCGCTCATGAGATCCTCCAGTGAGGTACATTGTGAGCCAAATTCAGATCCTCTCTCTGAAAGTCTCTCTATTGGCTCTGAAGGTTCGTCACACCTGCCATACGTATCAGTGCTTGAAGAAGCATCGCTAGTTTGCGGTGCTGGAAGAAACAAATGTGCTGGTGATCGACCATTCGTAGGGAAAGAAGATTGATCTCTTAAGAATTCTCGTAATGTTTCTATAAGCTCTTCTGATATCACTTGCACGCTTGGGTACTCAGAAGTTCGTCCAACCCCAAGGCTTTTACACAAATCATAAAAGGAGCACAGCTCTCCAAATTGTTTTGAGGCCTTGACACAAGTTTGGAAGGCATTGACACAATATTGAGGCTGTAACTGAAAGAAACTATCTAGAACAAGCGCTAGCCCATCAGAAATATCACGATAGAGATCGAAACTCTCTTGTACAATGGCATACAAAGAAACTTGCACCAATCTGTTTGTCTTGGCTGCACCAGTTGGTCTAGTCGCAACTGCTCTATCAAGCAATTTTTGCCAGCAAGAGAGTTTATCCAGCAACATTGCTGGTTTCATTTCAGAAACTGAATCGTTGGGACGTCTGCTTCTTGGATGGCTATTTTCCCGCTCTCGGTTGGTAAATCTTCTTTGAAGTTTGCCGGTTAGAAAGCAATCCAACCGCTCGTCAAGATATAGAGCAAATGTCCTTACAAAGGCAGTGTAGTCCCATGGTTTCGAATTGGAGTCATCTCGAAAGTTCGAAATGTTGAGAATTTTGGCCCCACGCTTCATTGCAAGAAGGACCTCTTTAGGGAAGTAAGGATCACCATCTTGGAAAATTCGGAGAACAAGCATGAGAGACTTAAGAGCAACGAGCCAATTTCGTGTCTTGCCGATTCTTTTGGCAATAGCTTGGGCACAGGAAGCTGCATAAATTTTGTTGGAGGAGATCAGGTTGAGCACTTCGTTAACATAACGTTCATCAATTGGGACTTCATCGTGCCTGGTGGCCTTGAGAATTAAAACTTCAAGATTTGATGCATTGGTGTTAGAAACCTTGGCAAGGCTAATGCTGGTTTGGTCTTTAACAGCTCCGATAGCCTTCCTTAGTTTGCTAGGCATGATCGTTTTTCCGCGACAAACCTTAATCTGTTTCAGTTTTCACTTTCTATTTTCCACGAATAATTAAAATTCTCTCTTCTTTATGATTTTCTTGAATGGGATTCTTCAACATGGAAGGAAATTTTGGTTTCAAGGATCCTAGAAATAAATTCCACCGATGGTGGAGGCAGGAGTAGATGCCTTAAGACACTCATTACCTGTAGGCTTTGCAGATCTTCGTAATTTTCGTTGACCGAGCGCTAAAATCGATTGCTATTCTAGGCATAGCTGACTTAAATTTTATACTCCATACTACTATAAAAAGATTGTGGTATACATATATTGTTACAATTAGTACATTACTATCGCATTACGGTGGATAAGTCTATACAATCTGTTTAATATCTTAATTAATATAAAAATTTTAACCTAATGATTTTTAAAATTAATTGTAGAAAATTTTTAATTGAATATGTACTTTGTAGTATATAACATCATGTGTATTTTTATTTTTAAATTTAAATATATATCACGAATATGTTTGATTTTGAAACAAATACATTCAACGAAACAAAATTAATATTTAGGGGATTAAATTATTAATTTTCAGACTAATTTAATTCATTTTTGAAACAAGAGGGACTAATTTATAATTTACTCCTTTCTAGTCGGTACCATCACTGATTTCCTACCGCAAAATTGGCGTTAGTCCGGAGGAATTGAGTTGTCTAGATCGAGTACAAAATTTTGGGTTTGCGTAGAATTGTCCTTAATTTAATGGAGCAATCGAACTTATGTTATGTGGCCAGATTTCATCTTATGCAAACGGACAATACATACTCATGGAAGCAATCATACAGCATGTGACTAAACAGTAATAGGTGTAAGGAGAATCTCTGCTACAAGATACAAAATCATGTCAGGAGAATCTCTACTTCCTGACATGGAAAACAAAACCCGACACCTCAGGAGGACACCGCATTCTTACCCGGTAACTCTTGTTTTGTTGTACTCTGCTTTTACGATTATAAAATCTTTCTACCCGTTCAATATTCCAAAATATTTTACTACCTAAACCAATCCTCCGGGACTATGAAATTAAAAAAAAAAATGATAAAATAATGCCAATAGTCTTTTATATGTAGTGTTATTCTTACAAAATCAATTCGTGGCAACAAGCAAGCACAACAGATTGTTTTAAAACATTTTTCTAGGATTTGGAGATAGATAGATTATTCTATATTTTCGATAAAATATATTGTATTTACAGAATTTACGTACATATGTAGTGACTCTAAGACATTGAAAGTGTCTCCGATCAAAAACTATGTTAAGAGTACCTCTACAAATGGAGCTTTAAGACATTGAATTGTCTCCGATCAAAGACTACGTTACTACAACTCGAATCCAAGTCTTTGGTGAGATGGATGGGGTTGGTCTTCCGTTAAACCAGCCTTGTGTTGGCTGTTAAAAGGTAAGCTGTAAAGCCATGTGTACATAGTATGGCAAAAGCTAGCCGTTGGTATGGTATATAATTCAGTGAACAAACGAAAAGAGTATATAATCCGGATCCAATGTAACTTTATGTAGCACTAAACTTTTAATGTTATCCAATTACCCAAGCAGGTCCTACCAATTGCTTTTCGCTGTTTATCTATTTATGAAATGGGAATTGGGAAGACTTCTGTGCTCTGTTGCCCTCCATGAGCGACTTCTTCAAACACTTGCAATTGTTGCTTGCTTCTGCAACCATATGCTACCTAGTATTTTCTCTAGACAAAAAGTTCCAAACGATGAATAAATTTACTGTTAACGCCTTATTGTGTTTATTTGTGAATAATTTCATGAGCTTATTTGCGTTAAGTGTACTGTTGTTCTAGATTTTAGTTCAATTTCATCATAAGGTAGCATCAGAAGTTGGGTCTGAGAAGTTAAATTTTGAGCAGTTATATTGTGAGGGTAACTGGCTGTGTGCAGATTGAATGGCTAATGAAGATCTTGACTCATCCATTGCAGTCCAGTCCGGAAATTACATGAACCCCAGGGGTTTTCTAGCTTTGCATCAACAAGACAAGCAGGGGTTTTCTAGTTTCCAATTTTCTTTGTACCAAATAAATTATAAATAACAAAAAACTACACACGTTTTAACACCGAATTACTGCAGCTAATCCTTTGGATTGTTCTTCCTGCTTGGAAATTAAAAACTTTATTACTTTCTTTTACTAGACTAATTAAGTACAATTTCAGACAAAACTTACTCTGGTGGATTCCATAGAGCCATTACAAATCAAGTTCCCTATAACCCTTTTTACAAAGCAATGATTTTCCTAATGATGGAAGCAGCAGCAGCACTCACTAAGCAGCACTATCCTCAATCTATAAGGAGTCGTCATAATCCATTACGCAAACCATCTTATTTATTATCTTTTCCGTCTTCCAAAATCAGAGATTTCGGCTAAGTTCAATTATTCGTTTCACGCGTGAGTCGACTATTGCTTGGCCACATTAAAATCAACACTTGCAACTAGGTACGAAATATCACATTAAGATTTCACATTGCTATCTGAGAAGAGGCAACTTGTGACGAATGGAAGAGATAAGAGTAATAACGGCCCATATACCCCTTCCCAATTTGTTGTTTCCTCACTAAATACGTTCCGGTTAATTAAAAGATCATCTGCAAATTCCCGATTTACGAGCGGTTGAAATGTTCACCTCCGCAAGATAGATATATCTTTGCCATTTATGGAGGGAAGGAGAGATGGAGAGAGTTAAGAACAAACCACCAATAGGAGTCAATAATAAATAGTAAGCATGATGAAAAGTAAACTAGGAAAATGCTGGACTATAATTACAGACAACAACCTAGTCAAAATAATTGTCTAACCACTCCAGCTACTCCAGAATAAATACAGTGAAACCCCAAAAATTATTAAAACAACTACAATTACTATATAATAATAAACAAAGATTTGTTCTCTCTCAGTCATTCGATTTTACTAGCCTTCACTTGTCAGTTGTGTCAAGCAAGCCCCCTTTGCTCCCGTGTTTTCTCTTCAATATCCTGTGGGAAACTCGCACTTCCCAAACTCTGCCAACCACAAACACTCTTTATTAGCACACATAAAAAATTATAAGCCAAAGTCACAATTTGATATTAATTTCCAGTATTTTTATGCACTCCTTTTCTTATACATGTATTTCCATGAATAGCCTATTAATTACCAAAGTAATGTAGTAAACGCTGACCGACCATCCCCGGTAAAAACAAAGCTTCAATTATTGACTAAAAATTTATCGAGGACAGAAAACGGGTCCATGGTAACCAATTAATGCACGCCACGTCATGAGGAGAAAGATTCTCCACATGATGATGACCCAGTCACGTGGTTTCTTTTTATTTTATTTTTTTCGACCCTTTCTCCAACCTGGCGTGCACCATTAGTCCATTACTTTGTGGACCACACCAGCACTGGCTTTCACACGTTGGTCACACCCAAACCCACACAGGCGCATGTTAGGCACCAAGTTTGCGCAATAGTTTTCTAAATTAATCTTATCATGCGCAAGTTGGCAAGAAACAAATAAAAAAGAAGCGAAGTCTTATATTAAAAGAGACGAGGCTAAAATACGTACTGGGTTCTTGAGTGACAACATAAGCTGCGCCTCCGAAATAACAGTCCCCCATACCACGTCCTTTCTTCTGATAATAACTGTTGAACGCGAAGGAAGTGTGGGCCACAAGCGTGTTAGGATTATAACACGTTGCACCAGGCTGGATCGGACGGCAATCAGCACCTCCCTCGCCACAAGCATAGTCTAGGGCAGTCTGTAGCTTCTCTTTTCCCGCATCAGGATTTGCAACGCACCATGTGTTCCCTGTAGTACTCTTGGATATGCCTCCGCTAACCGGAGGAGCAACCTGTTGACCGCCGGAAACCGGTGGCCGGTTATGATCCTTGTATTTCTTGAGCCCCTCCACAGTGAATGGGATATCATAGACCTTTTCCTGGTTAGGGTAAAAAAGCCCATAATTTCTCTCTGATGTGGGTCCATCCTTTTCGTTTTCGTTGAAGAGTGCGAAGAGATAGACGGTCAGATCTGCATGTGGTCTTAAAGGGGTACCACCACCCGTAAGAATCCTACGGACGAGATTGCCGTTGTAAGCAGCTGCATTTTCCACGCTAGCACCAACCTCATTCTCGTCTCCTTTAGAGGGCCACCCTGTCTCGGTAATCACCATTTTGATGTCATCATACTTTAAAGCAGACATTGCGGCAAAAACGGCGTCGATTTGGGCATCCAAGAGATTAAAATACCTTAATCCGTTACCCGCATCCACCACACCCGGATTTTCTCTAAACAAAGCGTAATCTAGTGAAATGACATCAGAGTTGGACTCGTAAGCGAAAAATGGGTAGGCATTGACCATGAGAAATGACCCAGTTTGACGAAGGAACTCCAACATGGGCTTGAAAACGGGTTCGATTAATTCGGGTCGGAATGATCCGGCTGAAGATGGGTAAGAGGATTGAAGAGCGCTTAAAGCTATAGGAGAAGAGACTTTAATAGAAGATTGGATGTTAAACTTGACTAAAGCCTCATGGATATTTTTCATGGCTGGAATGAGGAACTTGGTGGTGTTATGTTGGTCAACGAAAACTTCATTACCAACGGCAATGGCTTCGATTTGAGTGGAAGGGTGATAAGCTACAATGTTTTTCTGGACCCAAGAGCGGGCAAATGAAGGGTATTTGGCAGCAGAGTAAAGAAGTTCATTTGGTAAATCGACGGTGACTTTAACACTGGAACCAGATAAAGCTTTGAGTACAGCAGGGTCAGTGTCGTAAACCTTGAGCCTCTCTAAACCTTGAGATTTAACGAGGTGCACCACTTTCACAGCTGATGGCAGGTCGTTTGCTATTCTCCCGTAGTTCACCCCGATTGATCCCGCATCTGCAAAATGAACAGCACATTTGTCAGAAGACGAGAGAAACAAAATAATAAAAGTTGAATTCGTTACAGCATTAGCTATCTCATACCTGCAAGAGTGACAATGCAAAGAATTAAGAGGAAGCAAGAGAGGAAGTTACGCTCCATGCTCTGTTTGTTAGGGAAGCAGCGCGAGCGACCGAGAGAGAGAGAGAGAGAGAGAGTTGTGGAAATGGTGAGTGGAGCAGAAGGAGTACGTTCGGGAAAGTGAGGGTTTGACAGCAGAGTATAAAAGGAGAGGAGAGGAGGGTGCGTTGAGGAGACCGAGATGGTGGGGTGGGTCCCGATTTCCAGCCAAATGACAAGAATAAAAGGCAGAGAATTGAGAGAGAGATGCATCGGCTGCACGGACCACTATCCCTCTCTTGCAATGTGGGAGGCTACACTACCCACGTGGCCCCACCCAAAACTCGACCGTTCTGGTATTTCCTTATCAACGGGAAAAACTAAAAAAAAAAAAAGCCAAAGATCGTGTCAGTACAATACGCCTAAGGTTCATCATCCACGATGGAGTCTTGACCTATGTTTTGTTCACGTGTCCTTGAAGTGAGCTGCATTTGTTGAAATGGAGAAGATGAAGGGGTGAGGTTCATTGATGATGGTGGTGATGTGTTGCACTGGATGAGGGATTTAAGGAATGGAATTGTGCAGGTGAAATTAGGTGATTTTGTACTGCCATCTTTCTTTTCTTGATGTACTCAATTTCTGAACGTTGGGTTTGCGACAAATAATTACTGTGCTCAACGGGAATGTGGAACGAAATTATGCCAATAATAATTGTTACGTAAACGCGAACTTGAGCAGATTCGGTAACCAAAAAAAGTCAAATCCAAACAGTAGACAACAACGTTCGGTATTATCATTAATTATCGATAAGAAAAAAAATTTAAAAAAAAACGTTAAGATTTTTTTTTTTTTTTTGAAAGCGTTAAGATTTTATTTTTTGTTTCCAAAGAAAGGAAGGTGCCAACCTCTTGCGTGCATAATAGCTACCTATATTCAGAGGGAACAGCACCCCACTCTCCATGTTCTGTAGCAAACGAGGCTTCTATGGATGAGGTTGGAATTAGCGGTGCCGTGGGATTCATACTTAAGCAACGGTGGAGGATCCCTCCTATGGACAATTTTGAAGGGAGAACACTTTGTAGCTGAATGGTATGAAGAATTATACCAATATTCGGCCCATGGTAGCCATTTAGACCATTGTTTAGGCTGATTTCCAACAAAGCACCTCAAATATGCCTCAATGCATCGATTTACTGCCTCACTTTGCCCGTCGGATCGAGGATGTTACGTCGTACTATGCTTCAAACTAGTGTTCCGCATCCCGGACATTTCCACCCGTAAATGACTCATAAAGATCTTATCGCGATCCGAGACGATTAATCTAGGAAAGTCATGAAGCTTGACCACTCGAGAAATAAACTCCTCCGCTACCTTTTTAGTCGAAAATGGATGTTTAAGTAAGATAAAATGGGCATACTTACTTAAACGATCCACCACTACGAGGATGGAATCAAAACCATAGGGATTGGGAAAGCCCTCGATGAAGTCTATCGTTATATCCTCCCAAATAGCTTCGAGCATCGATAGTGGTGCATGATAGGCCGCAGGAGATAACGTTTCATATTTGTTTTATCGGCAAACATGACAACTAGCCACAAACTTTTTAACATCGGCTTTAAGTCCTTCCCAAAATAGCTCAGTCGTAATCCTCTTATAAGTTTTAAGGAAGCCCTCGTGGCCCCTAATTGGACTAGCATGAAACTCTTGCAAGAGGTAATGAATCAAGGGAGAAGGCTTAGGGATGACCACTCTTTTGGGAAACAAAGCAACTCGTTCTCGATAGACCAACCCGACTTTACATTTGGATTCGTCTTCGGTACTCTCACAAGTTCTTGGAGCTTAACATCTGCTTCCACTTCAAACCGTATTTGAGCCCAATTCACTATTTTGGGTACTCGTCAAAACCTGCGATTCGTTTCATGGAGGATTCTAGACAACACATCCGCAACCCTATTCTCCATTCTCGGGCGATATTGGATCTCAAAGTCATACCCAATCAACTTAACCGACCATTTACGATCACCATACGCTGCTCCAACAAGTGTTTGAGGTCGCGTTGATCCGTTTTAACCATAAAATACCGATCAAAGAGATAATGTCTCCGTTTTTGAATGGCAAAAACAATGGCCATTAATTCTCTCTCGTAGACGGACTTAAAGCATGCTCTCGCAATCGATGCTTGACTAAAAAATGCAATAGGTCATCCTTTTCTCGCTAGTACAACTCCTATCCTAATACCCGACGCATCAACCTTAATAATAAAAGTTTCTACAAAATCTAGTAAGACAAGAATTGGGACAACTTTCATTGCCTCTTTTAACCTTCTCACGACTCGGGTCGCGTCCTCGTTCCAAACAAAGCTGTCTTTCTTCAATAATTATGTCGAGGCGCATCTATCTTTCCATAATCCTTTACAAAACGACGATAATACCTCGTCAAGCTAAAAAATCCCCTCAACTCCTTGGGATTTTTGGATAGGGGCCACTCATCCATTGCTTCTAACCTTTTCGGATCCGCGACGAACTCCCGAACCTAAAATAATATGGCCAAGATATTCCAATTCGAGGCTTACAAAACGACGATTTCGTCAAATTAGCAAATAGCTCATTCTCACTCAAAATAGTCGAGACCTCTTTAAGTGGCCCATATACTCATCAAACGAGTTGTTATAGACTAGTATATCGTTAAAAAATACCAACACGTACCTCCGTAACAACCCATGGAATACCTTGTTCATTAAAGACCGAAAAGTTGTTAAAGCGTTGAAGAGATCGAAGGGAATGACTAGGAACTCATAATGCCCCTCGTATGTTCTAACATGGTCTTGTGCACGTATTCGGCCTTGACTCGAATCCGATGGTACCCCGATTTGAGGTTTAGTTTCGAAAACACCCTTGCCCCATTTAACTCATTAAGTAATTCATCTATATTCGATATCGAGAAACGGTCTAGTATAGTGGCCTTATTCAAGGCACAATAATCAACGCGAAGCATCAACTTTCATCCTTCTTTTGGACGAGGAGAACGGGATTAAAAAATGGATTGGTGCTTAGGATGTATTATACCTGCTGTTAACATTTCACCGACCAATCGTTCCACCTCCTCCTTTTGGATTTGGGGGTAGTGATATGGCTCTAACATTTATCGGCTCGACTTCTATTTTTTAATATAATAGGATGATCGTGACCTCTCTCCGGGGGTAGTTCGGAAGGTGTGCAAAAAATTAGTTCAAACTCATTCAAAAAACTCAATCCCTTAGTGGTCTAACTCCTTCAATTTATTTTTATTGATCGCAATCGACACAATTCAATCGGTAAGCCTTCTTTCTCATGTTGCGGCGTTTTGACAATGGACTCGAGGGAGACAAAGGCTTTGTTCAAACTGGGGTCACCCTTAAGGGTTATGGTCCGCCTTCCCAATTCAAAAGTCATAGTAAGCCTCTTCCAATCGTTGTGAGTGATGCCTAATGACAATAGCCACTTAACCCCTAAAATAATATCGGAACTTCCCAAGGGTAAAGGTAAAAATTCTTCAACAATGGTAAGCCCTTGCATTTTCGGAACTATGACCTTACAAATTCCACTTCCGGAAGCTTATTTCCGGATCCCATAACAACCCCATACTTAGTCGGTTCGAAAATGGGCAACTTCGACTTAGCAACGAGGTCCGAAGTAATGAAATTATAGGTTGCTCCACGATCAATTAATACCGCTACCTAGACACCAAGAACCTCCCCTTTTGATCGTAGCGCTACAGGTTCGATTAGCCCCACAACAAAATTTAAAAAAAGTCTACACCATCTCACTCTTTCAACGAATCCGAACCCACGTCACCCACTTCATCATTCCCTTCACTAACCAAAAGAACATACAACTTCTTATTCTTGCACTTATGTGCAACATGTCACTTTTCATCATATCTATAGTAAAACCCTTGGTCCCTTCTAGCTTGAGCTTCATTGGCGGTCAAATGTTTGAATCTAGGGTTGGGTGGTAAAGTGTTTAAGGGTTTTGGTTCAAATTTTGTTGTTTGAGGATAGGTGAGAGTGTTTGGTTTGTGTTAGGTTTTGGTGTCTTGGTTGTTAGTGTTTGGACTGGTGTTTTTAGGTTGGGTCCATAATATTGTTTTGAAGCTTCGTCCGATTTTGGGTTGAATGGGGCTCTCAATGACATTTTAGGCTTAGGGCTGACTAAGATCTAGTTCTTAGTTTCAATACGGGTTGCTTACCTTCATCGTTTTCTTGAGCCCATTAGGATTGAAAACTAAGAGTTTGACCCTTATTTTTCTCCTTCGAAGCCATTAACAAAAATAGCAGATAACGTCCCTTCCTCCAACCTTTCAATCCTCGTCGTTAGGAACTCGAATTGTACGCGATACTCCACCACGGTCCCTTCTTACCTCACTCGCAAAAACCTCTACAACATATTACCTTCCTTCATTCCCCGGACACGTGTAACATTTGAGACTTGAGTTTCGCCCAAAAAGAGAATAGTGTGTTCCTCTCCTCAAAACGTAACCAAGATTGGGCCTCTCTCTCGAAACATATGTCTACGGTTTCGAGTTTCTCCTCCTCTCGTCAATTTGTTGATGGAGAAATATTGCTCCATTGTGAAGATCCATACCCCGGTTCTTCCTCACTAAACACAAGAAGTTCCAACTTTCGTGGGATTCGATCCTTATCTACCACCCGATTCACTATCGGCGATAATGCAACCACCTTCTGCTGTCTCTATCGGAGGCTCTTTCCGGATCTTGTGGTGCTTGAACTCGATTGGTTGGTTGGGGATAATCTTTATTGTTTTAGGAGTGTCTCGAGGCTCGTTGGATCTCCTTCATATTCGACTTATTCTCATCTCGCTTCCTTTGCCATATTGGAATAGTCAAGTCTATTAATTGCTTCTTAAACCCGGGCATCCGAGTTTTCAATTGATCAACTCTGCTTCTATTCTTATCTTGGTCATTACCCACTCACATGAAGGGTGGGCTCGATACCAAAATGATGAATCCCAACACAATACGAAATAGTCAAGAACAATAACAATCAATAATGGTGAGGAGGTAGGGGTGGAGTTGTATTAATGGGATGATATAAATACATATGACTCGCTGGGGAACTTTTGAGAGGTCCCTTTTTCTCTCCACGACACGGAGTTCACCACGGAATACTCTCACAAAAACCATACATCCTTTTACCCCCTTTACCTACCCACTAAATATTCCCCTTCGGGTGTAACAAACTTGCCTCATCAACATTCTAGAAAGATACTAAAGACAAAAAGACTCAACAACAAATAACCAAATGACAAAACGACATAAAGGAATACTAGATCGGTCCAAAAATTAAGGCACAGGTAACTTGGGTCCTTTATTCCACTTCCTACGAGCATAGACCTTCGATGATCGGCCTAGGCATTGAGTCGCTATCACTATCCTAGCATGATTTGAATCCTAACTTTTTTGATGAAGTAAATGAGAGTATTATAGATTTATAAGTATTTGATAATGTCGAGTGATTTTTTTTACGGTAAAAAAATATTTTTAAAGGAAATATATATACATTAATTAAAAAAAAAGTCTTATTGTTGAACCAACCAAGGCTGAGATGAGCATTCAATGTCTTATGCCGAGCCTTTTTGGCTACAAATGGTGTAATTAGCGAGCACGAGAAGATAATAGAGGTCCGGCAATGAAATTGACTACTTCACTTGCCATTTCTCACACAAACCGGTGCAATCAATTGAGGGTTTAGAGGTATCTATCTCGAGCATACCTCCCAAAAAAAAAGAAAAAAATCTCATCGTATGGAAATATTAGGTCCGATTTTTTTTTTGGTAAAGCGAAATTATAAGTTTTGTGATATTATTTTTCTTTATTGTTTCCTCCTCGCGACCGATTGTCAATATTCTTCAAATTCAAACAAGATAATGTTAAATAATTATGACGATCAATGGTTATCAATTTTGCCTTTTGAAACAAACAAATTTTTAGTTTTCAATTTTTCTACAAATGCGAAAAGGTAACAAAAAAACAAACTACAAATAATATATCAAAACATGCGTTACTAAGAAGTTCTAATTCTCAAAAAAGAAAACAAGAAGAATAAGAAGTTTTACTTATGGATTGCGTCTAGATAAATTTTAGGAGTTTATGGCTAACTAAGGAAGAAATCTACTGGCAATTCTTAGTGTTGTAGGAGCCAATCAAAGGACTAAAATGATCCAAACTCATCCAAAATCGATATGGACGAGTGAGTGTAAAATGTTAAAAAACATATTTTGTTTTGAAAGAAGTGATTTGATATAAATAAAGTTTAAGAAAAATACATTAAAAAACTCACTATAGATGTGTAGAATGTGCAATTGATTGGTAATTAAGAATATCGTTTAACATGATCTTTTTTAGGATTTTTTTTCCTTTTTCCATGACATACATGCTAATGTAAGCCATGTTACTTTTTTAAAAACCAATCTCAAGATTAAAAAATAATTTAATCAGTAGGGAGTTTTCATGACTTGCTCATCAAAATGTCACATAGGATGTCATGCGCGCATAATATGCATGTATCATACGATTTTTAAAGAAATACATTTCACTCCCTAAATAAAATTACATGTGCAATTGCACCCTTGAGATTGAAAATTGAGTATCTAAACAAAACCGCTAGATCTTTCAATCAAGATTTTTTTTTTTTATAAAAAAATGTATTAAGTAAAGACTCAAGTCATAAGTAAAACACCTATTAGGTTTTCTATTCTAAGAAATAAATAATTTAATCTCTTTAGTTCAAAAGTTTTCAATTCAAATCCCTATTTGTTTTACATTTACTCATAACTTAAGTTATTTCATTCGTTTTCACCACCAGGAAACTGAGTTGTCCTTTTATATACTATCAAACTGAAAAGGTAACAATATGCTATAAGTTGATAATCAAAACTAATCAAAAAATTAATTTAATGACAAACACTAAGTTTTCGGTTCAAATCCCTATTTGTTTTACACATTTACTCATAACTTAAGTCATTTCATTCATTTTAACCACCGGTAAACTGAGTTGACCTTTTATATACTATCAAACTGAAAAGCTAACAGTATGTTATAAGTTGATAATCAAAACTAATCAAAAAATTAATTTAATGACAAACACTAAATGATTAAATTCAAAATTTACTCTTGTTCATTAACAGCTGTACAGTATCCACCGTATGGAAGCAATGCTCACCGACAATCTGCCTTAGAGCTTTGTCTGTTACCCAATGGGCCTTTAATTGGATACTGGCATTTCGGGCCGGAACTCTCTTGGTGAATTCCGCATGGTTATCAGGTGGACTCTAGTGTACTGAATCCTGCCACAATTCCACTCTTTACTGGACAGAATCCAAACAAGTTTATTAATTCAGAACAACGAAACCAATCAGATCTCGACACATACTCTAGGAGAGTTGACCGAGTTTCAGATATAGTCGTCGGGTGCAGGATATAACAAGTACATATATATAAGAACATAACATAGGTAAAGGAATGAAACCCTGATTTCTTGTTTTTTTTCAGACTCGAAGAAAAAGAAGAGAGCGAGAGAAACAGAGAGTTAGAGAAGAGATAATGTCTGGGGTGACAGGTCAGCCACAAGAGGAAGATAAGAAGCCCAACGATCAGTCTGCTCACATCAACCTCAAAGTGAAGGGCCAGGTTTCCTTTTCTTCTTAGGGTTTTTTCCTTTTTTCTCTGCGATTATGATTGTGTTTGTTTTTCTGTGTTGATGATTTTTTTTATTATTTGTTATGAGTTTGTTTCTGTTTGATTTTTACATATTTCTGGTTTTTTTTTTTGGTCGATCTGTTTAGGTTTTAGCTCTGTGCTTAGGTTGTTGGTCACAGAGTGTTTTATTTGGGGTTTTCTGTTTTGTTTTTTTTTTTTTTTTTGAATTGTTTGTTCGGGTTTTATTGCTGTATAATAATCTGTTTTGTAATATTTTCAGCTTTTTTTTCACAATCTGAATTAATTTTCAATTGTTTCAATTTCTTATTAACTGACCTGCTGTATAATAATTCAAAACCTGTTTTGGAATATTGAGTTATGGATTGTGTTTGGGAAAAATTGTACAGTCAGGATTTTGTCCCTTATAGGACAGTTTTGTGGTGATAGTGGTTTGTATAGAAACGTTGATTTGGTTTCTTGTCTAACAGCAATTGTCTAGTTTCAAAGACGAGGGAAGAATTTGAGACACTTATGCTTTTAGGAGGTGCTCACCTTGCGTATCTTGGTCGTTGCCCCAGTGAATCATAGTTATTCTCACAGATTGAGGAACTTTTATTTAATATTTCAAATTGTTGAATTATGAGTTTCGAGTTGCTTTTTTAATTGAATTTTATTCTGGGGTAGTTTGTGCTAACTCTTATTTTGATGACATGATTGAGTTAACAGTTTGTTATTTTTACTGATGTTGTCTTTTTATTTTTCAAGAACATGGTGATTAGAGGCTTATTTTACTTTCATTATAGGATGGAAATGAAGTCTTTTTCAGGATCAAAAGAAGCACACAATTGAAGAAGCTGATGAATGCCTACTGTGATCGCCAATCCGTTGAGTTCAACTCAATTGCCTTCTTGTTTGATGGTCGTCGTCTTCGTGGAGAGCAAACTCCTGATGAGGTATTCTTTCACGCACACAGTGGCACTTCCATAGATATATATATACACTTGGATAAGCTAACGCACATATTGCCTTTCCTTTTTGTTTCTTTCTGCAGCTCGACATGGAAGATGGGGATGAGATCGATGCTATGTTGCACCAAACTGGTGGTGCTGTGAAAGCTAATAATTAAATATGCTGACGGAAGGCTAATCTATCTAGTGTATGTAGTTGGTAATAGGTTCTTAGGATTGTTTGTAATGAGCATCGTTATGCTGGTTGTGTCTTGCTATATAAGCTCTCTCGAAGAGCTGTGACAGTAACAGTGCTATCTTAGGAGGATTTGGATTCTCAATGTTCTGTTTGTTGGGATATGGCTCGTCCCTCTTTGCTTGTTCTTCCCCTATTTACTTATATCCATGTGTTAGCTCGAGGGCATCAACAGGGGAATATTTCAACCGACACCGTTGATTGTATAATAAAGTAGGTTGAAGCAAATCTTACCTATTTGTGTGTGGATAGAATTGGCAGGGTTCTGTCGGGTTGGGGGGATTGAGCTACATGAAAAAATCAGTCTTCCAACCCACAAAATACGCCTTCCATATTAGCACGAACTTGATTTCAAAACTCCGAAATTGGTATTTTTAAGTTTTGGAAGTTGTTTTACGCCAGGAAGACTCTGGCAAGGGAAAAGCAATCTTCCACCATTTGAAACACCACCGCGAGACTCCTCGTTTTTTGGCTGACCTTTATTGATGCCTGCTTGGAAGTTGAATGTTTTTGACGCAGTCTCTAAGGAAATGTTCTTATTCAAATCTGCTTTTGCTGTAACTGCTAGTATGGCTTAGCCGCACCTGGGACCTGTAAATGGTCTAGACATAAAATTGAGCAACGAGGGAACAGAGTATTTTAGTGTCTTCTACTTTCCCAGTTCCTAGAATCTGATGGATACGCAGTCCATTGCCAAGCTACCTAAACCAAATAAGAATTTCTGTTTTAATACAAGCAGCAGACACTAGTAGTTGAGGGTTACGTCGTGCCATCTCATGTAATCTGAGAAAGAACCTTGATCATGCCTGGGAGAGGAGAGATTGTCTCGTTCTGTAGTAGTTCATCAACACTCAAGGAAACCTTAAAGATAAAAAGCTTTTTAATATTTGAGAACTATACAAGCTGTCTATACATGCTATTTACATCTAGTAGCAGAGCATGAGCATATGGCAGAAAAAAGGAACAAAAAAATTAATACAACACGAAACAAACAAAAGAATAAAGCTCTTTCTATGATATTTATGTAACTAGTTGTAGAATCCGCGCCGCGTTTTAGCCCACCGGTTTTTGTTTTAGCAGTTAGTTTTTTCGGTTGTCAAATGTATTATTTAGTGCAAGACAGGCTCCAAATCCAAGGTATAGCCTCTTCTGGGCCACAAAAAATTGCTGAGCTTCATCTAATGTGTATTTTCCTACTCCCTTCAGACTGCAAAATCATAAGCAACGCAGTCAGGCTCAAAACAATATGCAATTTGGCAGCTGAATTTAAAGCAAAGAACTAAAGTCTAGATATTGAGATAGCACCAAATTTTTTTCGACCATTTGAGGTGGAGAGACTAGTAAGACAATTACTAACACATGTTGCATCTCACCATCGATGCTTCAGGTATAAACCACAGTATGTCCTGGAACTCTAAAATAATCCCCTACTGATTTCCTCTTCTGTTGACTGTCTTTTCTTTCCTCTTTCTAAAATCACATGTTATATGCAGCAATCTGTCTATCATTGGAAGTTAGAGCCACAGCATCAGAAACCATTTTGACAACTTACCACCACACTTCGAGTCTCGGGTGTCAGCCTACTGTTCCTATAGTTTGATTGCTGTGACCTTGGTGGCTGACCAAGTATTCTCTGGATGAAATCTTGTATGTGATTATAAATGCTGTATACCAGCACATCAGAAAAGAAAAATATAATAAGATAGGCAGATCTTTGTCAAACAATCTGTGGGAAGAAAAGCAATGAAAAATTCAACAATAACTCCAGCACAGCAATTAGAAGGTAATCTTAGATAAATTCTTCATAGATTTATCGTTTAATACATTGTACTGCAAGGATCTATAAGATGTTCATAGAAGTTCATAGAAGTTCATAGAAGTTCAAAGGAATAAAATCTCAATGCAAGAGCATCTTTGATCTGAAGAGAATAGTCTTGAACATCTCTTTGTTTATCCATTATTCTGGCTTGAATTCAGATATTTTAGACACAAACCAAGGATAATCAAGGACTGCATTAGACTGCATTAGCTAGAAATGAAGCATATAGCAGCTGGTCTAACTGATGTGGCATACCTTAGCCGATGCCTGTTGCAGGCTGTGAAGAAGGCAACAAAACCATTTAATATACTCCTAACAGCACGAAAAACCTGAACAGATTAGGAACATAAATATCATTGACTTCATAATTGCATATCAAAATGCAATTAGCATAATCAATTATACAATGTCTTCCCACCTGAGAAAAAAGGTCATTCCAAAGTGAACGCCAGATTGAAACTTCGTATGTACTCACTGTCGCCTCTGAAACTGAAGCAAGTTGGAATATTCCACTTACAGATCGCCAAAGATCCCCAATCATTTCTGATATCCAGGCACAAATGAAAGCCACAAAACCAGCTAGTGCAAGGACCAAGCGAATCGGAGCATAAAGTATTTCCCAAATGGTCCAGAATATGGGATATATAATGGAAGTTGCTTCAGCACAAAAAACAACAAACACAATGAAATTTGTAGCCATATAAAATAATATAGTATTGCTTGTAAAATAACATAACCAAAACAGCTGAGAACCTACCAATGCTCCAGATAAACCATATAGGCCATGCAAAAATCTCAAGTAGATCTCCCAATGCACTGCAAGTCGATTCAATCACAACCCAAACAATGGAATACAAGCTTTTTACCACTTCAATGAGCATATTCCAGGCTGGAAGAAGAAAACCTAAAAACTCAGCAAGTGGTTCCACCAGCGGCCGCGTGAAAACTGATAAGAAGGACCTAGTGGTACGTGTGACCATCAGAAACCAAGTAACAGCTTTCTCAAAGTTATGTAGAAACAGCATTGTTCCTAGGTACTTGATCCTTGATACCATCTCCCAAGTCTCTATCCAGTCAAAAAATGGTCCAAACAAACTAGAAGCAGTTGCCTTAAGAACAGGGACATTTTTGTACAAATCATAAAATCCAATGAGAACAGTGACAATAGATATTAACATGTACAAAGCTCTTGCCAGAGGGCACATCCAAGGACGGTAAAGATGGCAAAACCCTGGATATGACTGAAGAAAGACAACCCAAGATGGAAGCCCGGCTTCCAATAAAGTGAGTAACCGCAGGTCAGACATTACCACTTGCCTTAATTTAAATGGCAGATCATGATCGTTAAACCTAAACAAAATCAAAACATCCCTGTATTGCTTAGCTTCAACAGCGTTTTCACAATCGCTGGCATCAGTCTCTGAACTGCCTGACAAGTCTTCATTTCCACCTTGTGTTTCCTCAGCATAACAATCAACTTCGACTCCAGTTCCGATGGACTTAATCACTCTTCTTCTCTTATAAGGCCCAGTGGGTGGAGGAGTGTGTGGCTCACTCGTTATATCTTCCAGGGTTCCAGGATATACATCAAAATTGCCACCAAGGCAGCATGAAGAATTATCTTCCACCCACAGATTATGATCACGAATTTTATCATCATCAACATCATCAATAGAGGGTGTCACTGAGAAATTTTCTTCAGCATCATAAAAGGTATCTCCTGAAAATTTCAGGCAACACTAAACAAAGTAACTTTAAGCTCATTTCACTCATAATGAAAGGAAGATCCCCAATCATTTCTGATATCCAGGGACAAGTAAGACGTTAAGATGTCAGTTAGGTTGAACCTCCCCTGAACCAGTAACAGATGCAAGAATCTAGGATCAAATGGCAGTTGTTAATACCAGTGAGAGGTCCTGTTTATTGGATTGGCCTAAATTGAGCTATTATTCATGAATACCATCTGAACAGTAAGACAATGATGGTGGTGGTGAACCAAACCATTGGATATTTGGACACTGTTTAATTTCTAAAGTGAGAACCTGCGCCTCTACAATAAGGCCAAATTCTATAGGCAAAGCATAAGCCATTGTGCATACTAACCCCACTGTTCACTTAGCAGACAGAAATCCATGCATGTTACGACCATCACACATCAATTAGGATGCAACAACATTTACAGTTTATAACCAAGCCTATCGATCCTGGGATGACTATCCATTAAACATATCATATATTGCATAAAAATCTCTGTGAAGAGCTTCAGCAACTGTTAAGGCTAGTTTATGGAACAATCCCGACATAAATATAAAAGACAGTCATGTCAGTTAACATGTTAATGTATCCACATGGGGTGTGCTCCTTGTATTGGTGAACCAGAAAGGGTACTTATCAGATATTAGTTACCACCTGTGTCCAGCAGGTAGTTTCTTCCAACACAAATGTAGGCATACCACAATTTCCAAATTTCAAAAAGAAAATTTGTATTCACGATCATATGCTTCTTACCAGTCCAGAATTCAACAAAGATAGTTGCTTTCTTCCACTATAGTAAAATAATAAATCATGAGAGCAACAAAATACCTGTAGCAGAATCCAGATAATCTTTCAATTGTAGCAGCTCAGAGAGCGCTCCTGAGAACCACGAAGATAAACAACTTGCAGCTTGAGCTATACTATCAAACTCCCATCTTCGCATAATCTTAGCTTCGATAGCCAGAGATGTATCTGTCTGCAATTGACATGAAAATCATTGGCCAAAACAATGCTCAATATAACTGCAAACAAAAGATGGAGCATTTAGAGGGGCAGTACCTGAAGCTCGTTTAAGTAGTTGATACCCCGCACATCATTCCAAGCAACTTCAAAGACAATAAAACCATAAAGAGTCCTGTGCAATTCACTGCTTAAGAACAAGGATTTCTTTAATTTCTTCACAGGTGGCAAACCCTTCTTCCGAGACAAAGCTTCAATCAATGAGAACCATCTCTCGAACTTCTTTGATTTACTATTGGACTGAGAACAAGCCTCCTTTCCCTCCTTTCTCCCCCTTTGTGCCTTAGTGTTCGCAAAAGGAGATAACCTAGACTGTAGATGAAAAAGAAAATAACATTAATCAAAGATGGTTAAGAAAAAACTTGAAAAAGAGGAGTTTTTGACAAAGGTATCTCAAGTCTTACAACCTTGGTAACCATCAATTGCCACAACTGTGCTGGGTGTGAACCAAGGTTTCTCAACCATGGCCTATTGTCCACCAAAATATATACTTTGCCACTTTTGAATGCAACGAAAAGGATAAGATCTGAGAGATAAGACTGCAAGTCTCTAAAATCACAGAAGGCAAAAAAGTTAAAAAATAGTCAGAATTCAGTAATCATACTTAATACACTAAAAGGCTTGGTCCTCCCATGATTTTAACACCTCAAGGTTCACAACAATATGATATGTTAGAAAAAGGGAAAGAATTAAAGAGAGAAGGAAAGAACTCTGCAGTATTTTCAAAGCATGCAAACCCAACATATACTAAGATGCGATCAAACATGCTCACGATAACGGACATACAAACAAACAAATTCGTCATTGGCTGTGATAATCATACTACAAATTGCATAGAGTAATTTAGGGACAACTAAAGTAAATCTATGCCTACATTAAATACAATACAAGAAAATTATCAAAACAAATTAATTACAGATCATAGACTATGTTGGCCAAGATAGATCATGTCTTCCAAAACATTAAGTATTTTCGACAAGCAGACAAGAGAACAAACGTCCACAATATCAACGAAAAGTCACTATGGTTTTTCATTCTTGTCACGCTTTTTCCTCCCAAACTTCCCCCTTTCTTATTCTACTTTTTCTTAAAAAATGAAAAAAAACAGATCCTTTTTCTAGAAGATTAGAAGACGGTACACTATTAGAATCGCAAAAGCATAATATCCTTCACGAAACTCACACTTCAAGTTTGGAATACCGAATCAAGAAAATAGATAGTTAATTGACATTCCAAGTATATCAGACAAGCAATCGAATGCATAACTTTTTTCCCAAAAAAGAAAAAATAACAAGAAAACAAACCATTATCTTTGATATCTGATAATCGTTACAAATTCTTTTTTTTAAAAAATGAAAATTCTGAGTTCTCTCTCAGTAGAAATTCGAAGACATTTTAAGGGCAAGTAGAAGATGCAAGTTACAGCAAGTGATGATAAAAAGGATGAAAAAAGAAGAAGAAGCATACCCAATCTGGAGACTTGTTAAAGGAAAAACGCATTTAGAGTCATCGGCTTCCCCCATCAGAATTTGGTTCAAAATCGCAATTCACTGCACAGCACAGCAACACATTTCTCATTAGCCTTATTTTAATTCAATTCATTAAATTAAATATACAGTATAATAAATAATTACATATGTAAGAAGAACCTTGAGAATGAGAATGAGAATTCCATGAAAGTAGGGAAAGAGAGGAGGAGAGAAAAGAATCACCGGCGAACTTCATAACAGGCGAAAGCAAGAAGAAGAACCAAGAAAGGAAATCAATGGTGGTTATAATTGAAGGACGGCAATGAGATCATCAACATTTACACAATAACAACCGACACGGGCATTGAAACAGGAAAAAAAAGAAGCCAGACACAATGACAACTTCTGTAACCGAACAGCCAGATTAAGTTGATTCGATTTTAAGCAGAGATAGAAGGAGGTTCGTGTCTTTGGTATGAAGGAGTTTGCTTGGCTTGGAAGGCGTGTCCGTCCTAAGAAGGTTCGATTCGGTCGACACGTTTATATATAGTTACAGGAAGAGCAGGAGACGAGGAGGAGGAGGAGGAGGAGGAGGATATCGTGAATTTAGAGAGAGAAAAATAAAGTCTCGGGATCTGATTCTTTCATGCTACGCGATGGTTGTTATCTTTGTCACTTTCGTTGTTAAGGAAGAGAGAGAAGGTGCAGGAAGCTTGGGGAAATAAACCCGAAAGACGCGCGTGGGGTTCAGAATAGAACAGGACAGAATTGTATTGTTGTCTTACGGAAAATTTTTTATCTATGTTTTTTTTTTTTTCTTTTCTTTTTTAAGAACACCGACGAGAAACTTCATTGAAAAGGGAATAAGTCTCAAAATTACACAGGACTTTGGTTTTTTATTTTTTATTTTTTTGAGAAATATGGTTACTACTTCGGTTAATTGGTTCTGCTTACTTACCATAGCATGCTTGCTTATTCATCTGGCTGCATTAATTCCAGCTTTTTAAAAAAATTATTTAGAAAAAAATTAATTTTCATTTACGTAAAATAATTTAACAATACTTTTTATAGTTTAAGGAGAGATGAAAACAATAGAACTAAAGAGTTTTTTTTTTTTTTGGAATTAAATAGATTTTTATTTCGATTAATAATAAAAAGACAAAGCTTTTTTACACTAATTTGGAGATCTGATGATCCAATCAAGAGGGAGGATCAAACTTTTGTAAAGCATCTCTCTTGTTTTCTCGTGGAAGATTTGGACACACACACACATATATATATATATATATATTCTCCTCTCTTTTTTTTTTTTTTAAAAAAAAAACTCCAATAAACGTTCTGTGGTTTCAAATGGCATCTCTACAAACATGACCATATGAGAAAGTGCAAGTAAATTAAGTACCTGAGCGCGATAATTAATTGTTAAAGTAAATTGTTACTGTTAATGGAGACATGGTTGATTTCTCACTCCTCCTGGTTAACGTGTCATTTCTTCTCTAAGACTAGGTAAACTAGGGCTGCCTTAATTGTTAAGAATGGCTTTTAATTTGGGAAATACTGTCCCATCCATGACTATATATAAGTGAGGAAATCTGCTCTGTCTCCTCTATTTTAGAAGTTTTTTTTTTTTTTTTAATTCTCGTTGCCATATCATTTGACAAATTGGCTAAATATATAGAAATAAAAACCCTCGCATCTAGCTTCGTTCGCGATTTAATTTAGCTAACAGGTTGTTTTTTCTTTAAAAGAGAGAGAGCCCATTATGCCAAACATCAAATATATCATCATATATTCACGTAGATAGTAACTAGGCTAGCTGATAAATTCATTTGATTTCTCATTATAAAAAAGCAGTGTTACTTTTACATAATTGTTTTAAATATATAATGACATCTTTTCTATTTACAGGTAATATTGTTTTAGGATAGCTCTATATACTTTTATTAATTGAATCAAGTCGTTTTCGCACCAACCCATTGAATAGATTACTTTGACTTATATATATATAAGTTCTCATATTACGTAACCTGACTTGGTTTCTAAATATGTGTGGAAGTTTTTTTTAAAAAAAAAAGAAAAAAAAAACCTAGATTTTTGACATGTGTATTGTTCAACTCTATTATTTGTTTTATAAGTTTTAATAGATTACTTTGAATTATTTATAACCAATATTTTAGCATTTATTGAATTGATTTTTTATAAAAAAATCCAAATAGTTTTATATAAAGATGATAATTTAAAATAAATTTATATTTTTTAATTCTAAAAATATATAAATAAATTTTAATAGCGTTGCAATAAAATCTATAGACATGGAATGGTTATTTTTAAGATATTCATGCGAATGTTACATGCATTTTATGATTGTTTACAGTTAAATCTCTTTAAATTAATAATCATCAACAAAATTTGCACTAGTTTATATACTAGTATAGTTAGAAATTGAAAATATTATTTTTATTATTGAATGTTGCTATATATAAAAAGAAATAAAAAGATAAAAATAGTTTCATTTTTTATTATGAAGTTTATGGTAGTTTTTTTAACTAAAAAATTACAACATTAGTTTGTATTTCATTTTAAAATTTAATTTGCTTTAAATTATATTATGAAAATAAAAATTATCAAAATATAAAAATGATATGTTGGGAACTCTTATGCATAATAAATATAATTACATATTAAGATACAGATATGATAATATATAAATAATCCAATGTGTTTTCAAAGTTTGATTTTTGTCGCATATATTTAGCAAATATCTATAATTGAGAAGTCTGGCGTACACTTCAAGAAATAAAACTCTATAAAGCATTAGATGCCTGGAGTTAACGTTAATCTTTAATATTATGAAATTATTGTCTAATTTTCTATTGTAATTAATTACGTACTATCACTACTGTAATAGTTTTAAATTATTTTGAGTTGTTTATTCAAATAAAATATATTTATGCAGCATGAATATGTATTGCGTGTTAAGAAATAATGAATGTCCATCATCATGTTCATCTACTTTTCATATCCCCACTACTCATGATTATCAATATGATTTAATTCATTATTCAATATGAGAAATTGAAAGAGTGATGCAATTGATTATTCATAGTCTCTTCCAATTCTCTCCTCAATTTTGAAGCCTATAAATAGGCTTGACTTGTTCATTAGTTTGTGTGCAAGTTTCCTAGAGGGAATAAAAGAAACTTTGAAGTTCTTATCACTTATATTCACATTATAGTGATTTCATTTTCTTGTCATCCTTTTCTTCAATTCTCCTATTATTTCTATTTATTTTATAACACGTTATCGACACGAAGCTCTAGCCAATCGAGACAATAGACGATGAGGTATGTATCTATCAAAAGATTTAATCAATTGTTTCAACAATTGGATTTCTTCTACACAAGTGCTCTACCAAAAGATCTAAATTATTTAGATCATTAAGAGGTATGTATCTAATTTATTCATGTACTTTAAATATATTGATACATGAAATATATATTTTAAAAACTTAAATGATCTACTAATGATCTAATATATGTTATTTGAAAAGCTTTAATTTTATTATTATATTTGTTCTTATTTTCTAATATTATTATTATATATTGTATTATAGAATTTTTATCATATCAAATCTCATAAACTTGATTTGGTGGCTCTTGATATTTTGAATAAGAATTATTGATTATGAGTGCTTGATTTTAAAAAAATATTTTTTACTTTTTATGTCTTGGATATGCTCTCACAGTAGCATATCGAGAAAAAGAGTTTAAGAAATATTTTGGATAGATTTTATACTTGTTAGTGGCTAAATAAAATGAAAAAGAATAAATCTCATCCAATTGGATCTACTCCATTCCCTAAAGTGAATGTGATAATTTATAATAATTTTAGGCATGGACGAAGATGTAGTCATAGCCATGGATGTTGTCAAAATAATTATCATTATAATTGTGATGAACATAATATTACATCTTACCACCGAAGTGGATAACTATGAAAAAAAGAAAGAATGAAAATAGATAAAGTCGGTATTCTAAAAATGAATGTTATAAACATGGTATGAATGGACATTAGTCGTGTACTGCCGTACACCAAAGCACATCATTGAGCATTATCAAGCCTTATTGAAAAATAAAGAGTAAAATATGAAGATCACTTTTATATATCAAAGTAATAGTAATTGAAATTAATTACTTGTTAGTCTTTCTATTTATAAATAAAATGTTTTATATTTCTTATAATTTATGTCATATATTGATGGTTACAAATTTATTTTACTATTTATTTATTTGTTTGTGTTTACGAGGAATATATTTATTTATTTATTTATTTTATATTGATTATTTATTTTATGTTAATATTATATATGATAATATCAATCTAATAGAAAGCTTTAGAAGAGCGACTATATTATTATATAAAGAGATAGATTTTGAAGGCTCTAGAAGAGCGATTATATCATGACTTGAAGAGACAAATTTTTAAAGCTCTAGAAGAGTGAATAAATTATTATTTGCAGAGAAAATGTTTAAAAGCTCTAGAAAAGTCGATATATTATTGCTTGAAGTAACACAATTTAAAGGCTCCGGAAGAGCAAATACGTTATTATCCGAAAGGATAAATTTATTATGAATGATGTACTATTCTTTTTAAACTCTCATAGAAATTTTTCGAATTTCAAATATATTTATCTAAATGGACATTATATTAAGACGTAAAATGTCAAAAAAATTGAATTCTTAAATATTATAATTATATCGGATAGAAAGCATGTATTGGAGAAATTATTCGCTTTCTCATTTATTCTTTATTACCAACATTGGAATGCTTGAAAACAAAATATATTATAGTAAACCGAAGTTTACTAATTCAAATACTTTTATTATGTGACATGACCGAGTTGTGCTATCTTGGGTCTTTCATGATCCGAAAAATTATTAAAAATTCATATGGATATCTATTGAAGACCCGGAAGATTCTTCAATTTAATAAACTTTCATGTGCTGCATGTTGTCAAGGAAAATTGATGATTAAGCCATCATCAAGTAAAATTG